CGAATGGACGTGTCTGTAAACATTGGGATTTTCTGACTTTGCCATATTTCTTTTCATGACTTCTGGATTTCAAGCCATAGATATAACGGCCTTCTCAATCCAAAGTTAAAAGACTTTTTTCCATGTTTTCTTCTAGTATTTTGATCCATTTGGATTTTATCTTACTATAGGGCTGAATCACGACAAGTTAGTTGTTTTCTTTTTTCCCAGGTGGCTGCTCTGTTACCTTTGCATCTTTAATTTAAAAGTCCTTCTTTACGTCTATAGATTTTAGCTGTCATCTTTGTCATATACTAGATTCCCATATGTCTTTGGGTAAAATATATTGCATGGCTGATGGTCACAAAGTGGAAAAATATAAAGCAGGGAAGAGAGAGAGAGAGAGAGAGGAGGGAACTTAAACTAGGAAAGGCCTTGGTGAGAAGATGATATTTGAGTAAACACCTGAACAAAGGGACTTGAGAGAGTCAATGCAGCATGGTTCTTAAAGGCTTTAGGTCTCTGAAATCATTCTGGCCTGGGTCCAGTCCCAGCTCTGCTCATGATGTTTGGCAAGTTATTCTTCTCATGCATCAATTTATTCATTAGTAAAACTGGAATTACAAATAGTATATACTCCATGGGACCATTATAAGAATGAAATGGGGTCTTTTTAACTGGTTGTCCAACTTACGCGTGTAGCATTGACTGTAGCATTCTCTCACTCTTCTGCTGTCGGCAGGGTCCGAGGTGGTGTTCCAGTTTCGGCCTGATATTGGTGATTTGTATCTTCATTCTCTCGCTCTTGCTTCTTTCATTACTGTTCTTTGTTTCTAAGAGAGGTTTTCACTGATTCTTTGTCTCTCCCATGATGCTGTTGGTTTCATTCACAGGGCTTTTTATTTTGGTTCTTGTATCTTTCAGTTCTGAAATTCCCATTTTAGTTCATCTTTATGGCTTCTATTTCTTTGCTGAGGCCTTCTGTTGTTTTGTTTTGTTTTTTTATTTGTTTCAGGCACATTCACAATTGTTGATTAAAGCATTGTCATTAATGGCTACTTTAAAATTGTTGCCAAATAATTCTAGCATCTCCATGTTGGCGTCTATGATTGCCTTTTTTTTTTCATTAACTTTGAGGCTTTCTTAGTTTTTGGTACGACAAGTGATTTTCCATTGACATCTGGATATTTGTGTATTATGGGACTCTGGATCTTATTTGAACCTGCTGTTTCAGCTGGCTTTTCCCGACAGCACTCCATCCAGCAGGAGTGGCGGGGCTGCCACCCTATTACTGTCCCGTGGAGGCCGACGTCCAGCTTCCTCACCTGGCCTTTGGCAGAGGACGGAGCACGGTATTCCTGGTTCCTGCTGGGTGGCGGTGGGAGTCCTGTCTGTCCATGTGGTCCCCACTGATGCCGCACTGGGCGATGCTGACTCCCTTACGTCTCCTCTGACACCAGCCCCGTGGGTAGCGGGAGGAGCACCTCCTTACTGCCCAGTGGGCTGGAACCCAGGCATGCCACGCGGGCTCCGTGGGTGCCGTCAGGGGAGGGCTTGCTCCCAACTCGCGAGGACGAGCGTCCCGGCTCCCTACCTAGCCTCACAGACACCACCTCTGCTGGGTGTCGGGACAACCGTTTACAGCTTGAGAAGGTGGAAGTCCAGGCTCTCCGCCTGGCCTTCTCTGACGTGGGATGGGTGACGGTGGGGCCCCAGGTTTTTCTGGGGCATTTGGCAGGAGTAGTATGGTTATTGTCTAAAAGTTTGATATCTTGCTACATTGCCCTTTCCTGGTCCTTTGGTCAAAGACACAAGGCATTTGGGGAGGAGATATATATATATATGTATATGTGTATATATATACACACACACACATATGCATATATATATGTGGGCTTTTTGTCGGAGCTCATCGGTGTTCCAAGTTGCTGGTTTCTTCAAATCCAAGTCTAAGGTATATGGGGCAAAAAGAACATCCAAGGAGTTCACCATCATGTTGTTCCTAAGATCCCTCGCTGGTCTGCTTTCTGCTCTCCACCTTTTAGAGTCCTTTTATATCTGTATTTATAGACAATTTCCAGCGTTTTCATTGTCCTTAGTGAGAAGAATAGGAGAAAGTGTGTATATTCTATCTTCCCGGAAGCAGAAATCTTATGTTCTTTTATAATGCTGATCTAAGAAGGAAAAAAAATATTTCAAAGGAAGGGCTCAAGTGTGTAGACAAGATACCCCCATGTGGTTATTGAATGAAGATGAGTAAATGAATGGCTAGAAATAAATAACTTGCCACTGGGTAACACCTTAGTTAGGCAGCGGTGGGGGGGTGGGATTTCTCAGTCTAGATTTATTTCTTGTACCACTTTCATAATGGCTCATCTTCAAAACACCTGTTGAATTATTTGTGTAATATTTTTTGTTGTTTAAAATTTTACTTTATACTCATCTAAGCAAAAATATTTTTAATGTCAGATGTTTGATGCTAGAAATATTTTTCTAATGCACATTGTCCTAGTTCAGGCTGCTATCAAAGTGCCATAGACTGGATGGTTTGTAAACAACAAAAGTTGGCTTCTCACAGTTTTGGCAGCTGGAAGTCTGAGATCAGGTGCCAAGACGGCCAGGTTCTGCTGAGGACCTGCTTCTGGGTTGCAGATTGCCACATTCTCATTGTATAATGCAGAGGGCTGGTGAGCTCTCTGGGGTCTCTTTTACAAGGCTGCTAATCCTATTCATGAGGGCTCCACCCCATGACCTCCCAAAGGCCCCACCTGCTAATGCCATCACATTGGGGGTTCGAAGTTTAACATTTGTAGTGCTTAATAAATAGACATTTAAGTGAGTTAAATCGTACCTCAGCAGTGGGGCAGTCAACCCATATCAGTTTATACCGGGTTTCCAGATGCTACCAAAGCCAGAAGAGGAAGCATAAAATCTGGGAGTCCGGGTGCAATGCTGCCAGCCCCACTCCACTGTTGGGGGAAGTAGTCAAGGTAAACAGAAATGCCACGTGTTCAGATGGCTTCTCCCAACTCACATGCAGGAATTGTCAGAAATCCCTGGGAAGAGACAAGAGAATTTCCTTCTCTTCTGCTCTAGGTCAGGAAGTGGAAGCCTGGGGGCAGGAAGAGGAGGTGGGGAAGGCAGAACCCCAAGTCCTTGGGAGGAAGAGAAGGACTCTGTGGGGGAGGGAGAGGGAAGAGGATGGCCAGACCAGGAGGGGGCAAGTTGAGTCAGCGTCCCGCCTGTGCCCGCCTCCCTGCCAAGCTCCCCACTGTCGGGCCACAGCCCCACGTGCCAACCTGCTGGGCTGGACCCGTTTTAGGTTCTCACCGGCCACTACCACCAGTGCACCAAGCAACTTCTCAAACCCAAAGTTGTGTCTGTGGGACCATTCTAGTGACATCTTCTAATATTTTTGCAAGAATATTTATCAAGTTTTAAATTTGCCTACCTCTTGACCCAGAAATTTCATTCTTGTGAAAAATAGAGACACACTTGAGTGATGAAAAATAAGTGTGGAAGGTCCATTTTAATACTGCTTATAACACCCTAGATGTAAAACTATAAGCACCATAAATGCCCGCCAATAAAGATAATAGACACTAAATAAGGTTACAGTCAAGCGATGGAATAAACGCCACCTGAGTGGTGACCATGCGGGTCTAGCTGTATTGCAGTGGGAAGAGGTCGGCGCTATTTTGTTGCATGAGAAAAGCAAGTTGATACCGATAGCACCACCCACTTATGTAAAATTTTCATTTATTTACACCCATGATCCATTAAGTAGTCAAATGACACATTTACTGAGTGCCTTCCTCGCGCCTCGCTGTCCCTGTGTACTTGGGAAAAACACGGAGCCAGGTAGGTATAATGCCCATGTTTGTTGAGTTTACTGACAGGAGCATGAGCGAAGGCACAAGTACTGAGCAAGTAAACTAAAACGCTGTAGCAGCAAAGATTTTTGTGAAAATGTGCAAGGTGCCGCAGTTGGAGGTAATGACAAGAGGGAGCACGTCAGGTGGGGCGTTAGGGACGACCTCCCTGAACAGGTGACAGTGGAGACATGAAAGGTGAATGGAAATTACCTGCAGGCAGACACAGGGCAGAAGGTTCCAGACACAGCCAGGAGGTTGGAAATAGCTTATGGTGTGTTTGAGAAACTCAAAGAAAATCGGCCAAAACACAGAGCGAAGGAGAGAGTGGTACAGAGAAGGGGGAGACTTAGGCAGGGGCCAGGCCAGGTGAGCCATCAGAGACCCTGTGTCAGAGTTGGGGCTCGGCTCCAGGACCTTCAGAAGCTACTGGAGGGTGGGAGGAGTGGGAGGATGGGGTCTCTTGAGTAAAGAACGGATGGAAGGAGTTAAGAGCCCAAGAAGACAGGGCAGGGGGCCGTTGCAGTCATAAGGTGGGGAGATGGCAGTGTCTTGTCCCAGAGTTGTGAGGGTGGACAGGGGGCAAGGATTCAGAAGGCAACCTGCCCTTCTGGGTGAGTTGGGGAGAAAATCTGTCCCCATATCACGTGCCTTGCACTGATAAATTCTCAGATCCCAAAGGAAGAATTTTAATGCCAGTACTTTTTTTTTTTTTTTTTTTTTTTTTAGTTTATATGATTCAACCCTGTGGGGATTGTGGGAGACAAAATAGAGCCATCTCTGGGGATAATGTACAAATTATTAGACAAGGCGACCACAAAGATGGGAAATATCGGCGTCCTATGCAACCTCTTTGCAGAATCGGGAGAAAAGGGGTTTTGTTTAGAATGCGACGTGCACCGCTGTGTTTATTACCCTTCGGCTCCACACAATGTCCCTCCAACCGACTGCAAGTGCTGAATATGTCAGAAAGAGGGGGGAGGCGAGGGAGGGCGACTCTCATAAGGTCCGGATTGTTCCGCACGCTCGTGGGCAGCAGAAGTATGGCTGGAATTAGGGGTAAGGGAGAAAGGGGCGTGAAGCGAAAATAGTACTTTGAGGGCTCACATTCAACAAGTTGCGACTGTGAAAACTCTGTGTCCCTCCTAGGGCATAGCTGACGGCGAGGAAAAAGAAGGACGAGAAATAGGCACTGTGAGTGGGTCTGTCCCCGGGGACCCGGAAGGACCGGAGATTGCAAAGGAGGACTCCCAGACAGCAGAGATAGAGGACAATAATAATCCCATCATGAGTTTCTTTAAAACTCTGGTAAGCCGCTTTCTCCCTTTTTACCCTCAATTCTATTGCTCAAAAATCTTATTAATTCTAAGAATCGTGCATGTGTGAATGTCACGGTACTGAGTGGATTACCATCATGACGCTGCTGGAACGTGGGAGAACAGGGACAAGACTCGCTTCCTGAGGGAGCTGGGCTGCATCAGGCTACGAGGGAGCCCTTAGAGCTGGGAACTGTGGTATGAACAGGAGGCGCCTAGACCGGGTAACATGAGCCCCACATTGCAATGGAATTCGTTGCAATTGGATGCCTTACGGTCACTGATCATAAAAATAATTGGCAGTACCTCCAATTGTTTTGTTGACCTATCAGAGCAGTTTTGCCACTCAAATGGCCAACAAAACACCGTCGAAATCACTTTCTGTCTTGTTGCGTCCAAGTCTGCCTTTCTAATTGGATGAGGGCAAAGACGGTGTCTTTGCATTGCTTGTTTATCCCTGACCGCCCCCACCCCGGGGCAGAGCCCATGGCCTCACACATGTCAGCCACTCAGAGAGGAAAAAGAACCTCGTGATGAATGGATGCATAATTAAATAGACAGCCTAAAATATGTCTGGGCTGTTTCCAAATATCAAGACTAAACTTCAGAAGATAAAACAATAGAAGTCAACAGAATGTGCCACAAACACCAAAGGGTTATGCATGTGTTTGGTGTAATGATAGAATTGATGGGAAGTTGGTGGCCTTCCAGGAGAGAACTTTGAATGTGCTCAAACTCTTGGTGAATGTGTAAGATCTGAGGCATCTCACTATAAAATATTAGTATGTTAACTTTGTTATCACCCAGAGGCCCTTGGGTTTCTACTGAACTGAAAGTACTTCTCATTTTATTCTTTACCTGTATAGTGAACTGGAACACCCCAAAGAATTATGTATCTAATCAAATAAAAATCACCCTAAAGAGCCATGATTTTTAATGTTTGGTTTTCTCAAACTTTTAAGGTTTCGCCTAACAAAGCTGAAACAAAAAAAGATCCAGAAGACACGGTAGGTGTTTTGAAGTGTGTATATATATGTCTGAGTTTGTGCATAGAATTGGATTTGGATTTGCATCTGCTTGTTTGTTTTTGAATATACATATTATATATAAATACGTATATATACGTAGTTAGCAATTTAATAGTGCTGTTAGACTGTCTTTAAAATATTTCATTTATGTTAATGGTGGATTAATGGAAATGTTAGTGGGAAGCTTGAAAGATAAACTGATTCTGGCTAAATGTCACAATAACCAATTTATATAGAGTAAGTGCAGAATACTAATAATTATGTCATCATCTTAGTGTTTTTAGTTGTGTGGAGAGACCAGACTCAAAGTAGAAGAAAGCTGCTGTATTTTGGTTTTCTAAAAAAATATGTTCTTTGTTTTTCATGTAATTTGAAAAAAATAAATCTCCACTGCAAAGGCAATTGTTTGGTGAAACAAAATAGCTGCTGTAGGACCCTTGCCAAGTGGAGGGCCACGCAGGGGAGTCAGGTCACTCTAAAGAGCCGGGCTTTTTCACTGTCATCCTAGAAATTCAGCCGAGTCCCCTCAAAATAACTTCGGTTTAAAATAACTTCTTCCGAGATGTTCTCCCTTTAAATTTGATAAGGCCCGTTACCCCTCGTGGAATACATGGTTTAAATTTCACAGGAGCCATGGGGGAAGTTTAACTTGGTGACGGATAAGTGTCGTGGGTCCTTCTTTAGATAACGCGAAGTGCTTTGAAAACCACTGGGATCAAACGTACGGCTTGGCCAGCTCCGTACATCTACTACCCATATTCGAAGGACTTGGTTGTGAAAAAAAAGCATCCTAGATTTTGTCCCGGAAGATCTGTATTTGAGCTCCAGTTTTGCTCCTTGGTAGTCCTGTGATCTGAACCTGTCTGCACCCCATTCTCCACATCCGTGAAATTAGGACAATAAAAATGTTCTCTCCTAAAGCCCAGGATTGAAAGGAGGTGTGGCAGTGCCTTGTAAACGGTAGAGCTCCGTGCGAATGTAGGTGGTCCCTATGTTCATAATCACGTGCGAGACTGGTTGAACGACGTGATGACGTTTGCACTGTAGTGCTTGGTTCCTCTAGGATTTTCTTCTTCCACTGGGGAAAAAAAAAAAATGTATAGCTGAAGCATCTACACACATTTTCCTATAAAACTATCCATTTGCTAGAAGGCCACCAGGGTCAATTCCAGTGAATGGTTGGGTCAGAATGTTTCTCTTTGGGTTCTGTGTTTCGCCTTGTTTGAGGCCACGTGGTGTAATAATAGGCTACAGGCAGTGGGAGTGTGGGAGTGTGGTGGGTGTGGTGTGGTTCCCAGCTGACCAGTACACTCCCTCTCTTTACCTGGTCGTGCACCAAGACTCTTTCCTGACCCAGAATGTGGTCCCAGCTGAACATACTTAGCTGATAAAAATCTCACTCCCCTGCCCAGAGACCTGCGCAGTCACTGCTGGTGGAGCTGGGGTCTCAAAAGAGGGTTCTGTGAATGTAGGTTGTCCATGGCTCCCACAAACAGACCTCTTTCCTACAGACCTGGTTCTCAGGCCTTGCCATTTTGACATCTTTTCTACCGATGTTCTTGGATTCATGCTTTTGAAAGATCTGTACCATTTTTTAGCGCACTACCTGCTCCACACAAAATACCCTGCCCTTTATAACTTAAGTCGGCAATCTCGTGTGGTTGTAGCTGGGCTATTTCCATTCCAATCTCCCACACACACCAGTTTGGCTCAGCGGACTGATTCACTCTAAACACGTCCTTTGCCTGGGAAATCTGCCCATCCAGAAGTGAATCGAGATTTTTGCGGGTGATATCCGCTTCCATGGACTTTCTCATACTGAATTCAAGGAGGGAGGTTTGAGAATAAAAGCCATTCAGTGGGCAGTATTTGCCTTGACTCCAGGGTGCAAAAATAAATCATTGTGTGCAGGTATTCTTTTCTTTCCCGTGTGACAATAGCAATTTAACACTATCAAGTGGAGACTGTGTTATCTTTTTTTTTTTTCATTTTTCATTTGGTTATTTTAAGTCACAGAGACAGAGTTGAAGTGTCCTGATGTTGAGATATGGGGGATTTTTGTCTGGTTTGGTTTGGGTTTGGGTTTTTATTTTTTTTAAGGTGTGTTAATCTGGGTCATTTAACTAGGTCACCCTGTTGAAAATCAGTGTGTACCTGGAGTTGACTGTGAATATGCTGTTTTTAGCAAATTGTCTTTTGAGAGTTTAAAAAAGGTAAACATTCACATGGTGTTTTGTGGTTAGGGGATGCAGGTGAGATACCAGCAGTTCGTTGTCACAGTGTATTAATGTACTTTAAAACAGCAGGAAAAAAAATGGATTTTGTTTAAAAACCAAGTTCTAAGGCAGTGACTGCTGTTGCCCCAAAGGCATCCAAAGCAGAAAGTGTCTGTGACGGACAAGCGGGTCAGAAGACATCCGAGAGCCAGGCTAAAGGCGCCAAGAAAAAGCACCTGGATAGCCCCAGGCTAGGACTCGCCTTTAGAAAGTTCTTTAGGCATAAGGTCTGTATCTGGGTAAACTAGGAGGAAAAAGAAGAACCCTGGTCTTCACCCCACGATACACGTGCCACCTGAGCCCAGCCAGCTCCTGTCCTGTGAAAACAGAGCCTTGGGTGGCTGGGATCACTAAAGGAGAATAAAAAATGATGTGAATTACACTTAATGACTTTTTCCTTACGTCCCCACAGTTATAAACATCTCAAGGCCGGGCGCGGTGGCTCACGCCTGTAATCCTAGCTCTTGGGAGGCCGAGGCGGGCGGATTGCTCAAGGTCAGGAGTTCAAAACCAGCCTGAGCAAGAGCGAGACCCCGTCTCTACTATAAATAGAAATAAATTAATTGGCCAACTGATATATATATAAAAAATTAGCCGGGCATGGTGGCACATGCCTGTAGTCCCAGCTACTCGGGAGGCTGAGGCAGAAGGATCACTCAAGCCCAGGAGTCTGAGGTTGCTGTGAGCTAGGCTGACGCCACGGCACTCACTCTAGCCTGGACAACAAAGCGAGACTCTGTCTCAAAAAAAATAAATAAATAAAAAATAAACATCTCAGATTGGTTTCTTCCTAGTGTGGACCAGGGTTCTGAAAGTATTCATCTAACCCAGTATTTCCCAAATGTTGGTTGTTTGCATACCATGTTTGCTAGATATACAATTATTTATAATATTTTTAAACTTAAATCGATCCATTTCCTATTTAAATGTATCATGAAAAGAAACTTGGTATCATGCATAGAAAATCAGAATTATTTTTCATAAGACAAAGGTAACCATTAGTATGGCAATAAAAAAAAAACTATTACATTCTACCTAATTCGTTTGTGTTAAGCTCTGAATCTGATGCTCTTTCTAGCTTTATGAAAAGGCAATTAATTGACCAGTGGTAGAAAAATATTAAAGACATACCAGCACCAGACTGAGACTCTCCCCAGAATGTTATTAGAAGGATTAAATGAAAGTTGGAAAAGTATTTTCACGTACTGTTACTTAATATATCTCTATACAATTTAAAATCATCTTGATCCGCCAATGGTATGCTTCCTGCACTTGGGGAAATACTCTTCTAACCTCAAGATAACAATTGTATCTTTCTGTGGTCTGTTTCATCCATTCCCAATATTAACTAAATTTATACCGAGCCCAAATGAAATCCCAGGCAGCAAAAAACAATGAATGAAGGCAGAGCCTGTTATAGCTCCATGTCCTTAGGAAGCTAAGACAACATCAAAGTCAATTTTGGAGATATTACCCTTCTAATGTCTAAGAAGGTGCCAGTGTTTGTCTGAAACCACCAATTTAAAAGATCCCTGAATTGGGTCAGTGTGCTTAAAATTTTGTTTAAAATAACAACCACTTTCAACCAAGTTGAACGAACATATTAATAACATCCCAGCTGGATGTTATAGTATCAGGATTGTACATGCAAATAAGAGCTCCATAGAAAGTTCTCATAGCTGAATCTGTATTTGCATTTAAAAACTATATTATATTACTTGCTGCTTTGCTTTAGGAAATAAAAAAAAAAAAACTATATTATAAAGCCACCCTGCAAAATAAGCCACTAGGCTTATTTTGTTTTGTAAAGAAAGAGTGATACCTTTTGCAAGGGGGCGAGGTAAAATTAAAATGTGGTCCAATGGGATATGGAAGACAACTTCGTAACTGCTAGTGAAACATGTCATAAATCTCATATGAAGGAATCTAGTTTAACTGCCACTTGGAGCCTTTGTGAGTAGACGCCTTGCACGTTTAAGAAGTGTCTGACTTTCCCCCCAGATCTGTATTTCATTATGACATTCATTTTTTCATGCACTACAAACATTCATGACTGCAGTTTCCCTTGCCACCCATAAATGGACCACCCAAGCTCGATGTTATTATTCCCAGGACGTCCCCAAATCTATGGCCTCACATCCTGCCACTGGGGTACCTGAGGGAAGGATAGATTCTGGGATGCTGGGAAGATGTAGAGAAAGCATCCTTTTTGGCATTCTGTAATACAGACAAAATAATTTAGGGTTTTGCCTTGAGTTACATTCAATGTATTTTTTAATGGAAATGTAAATTAAAATATAAGGGATGATTCCCAAGTGTGATTTCTCATTTATGCAGCAGTTCAGTAGAGCTCATTGGCTTTTACCTCAACCTAGGATAGTTTGTTTCTTTTCCTTTTTTGATTATTCTGTTGTCTACAGAGTTAGCAAAATAGGGCCTTTAAAATAACCAGCCAGATTCTATCAATGACCCTTGATTTTAGGAGGTGTGATGCCCTCAGTTTCACCCTGGGGTTGTAACTCAGAAGAGAAAGGGGAAATTCAAGCAAATTCAAAGACAAAACACTATCTTTTAGTTTTGTTATAAACAAAAATACAATGGTTACCAATTCTGGTTAACTCTGGGTTTATTTCTCTACATCTCCATTTTCCTTCCTAGAAAAAGAATTTTTTTTTTTTAGTTTTAAAAAAGTGAGGAAGTATGGAATTAATAAATGAAATATGTTTATTGTTATAAATTATAAGAGCTTCAGCCTTCCTTTGCTGAGTCTGCATCTTTTTTTCTTGGCTTAATCATAATGTGATGCCTCAGAATCAGACCTTCTCACGTGGCCTCCAATGTTGGTGACAACATGCACACAAGACAAGGCATCGTCTCAGCATGTTTCTGCCGCGCCCTGAAACGCTTCCCTCTCTGCTCAGGCTTCCCCAGTGCCCACCCTGTCTGCCAGGCCGGTGGAGCATCATCGGTGGCTCACGTGATCCCTAAGCTCTGCCACACATCCGTTGTTTTGGGTTCTTGGTGTAGTGCTTACATCTTACTAACATCTCCTCTTTCCCACACCCAAATGTGGAAACAAGAGGAAAGCTTACTAAGAAGGTAAAGTTATTTGACATGAAATCTCCAAATGGAAAATACCTTTGAATTTCATGGGTAGGGTCACCAGGTAAAATGCAGAGTACCCAGTTAAATTCAAAATTTAGATAAATAAGAAATATTTTTTTGAGTATACATGTAAGTATGTTCCACACAATATTTGGGACATATTTATGCTATAAAATTATACTTTGCTGATCTGAAAGTCACATTTAATGGGGCATCCTGTATTTCTCACTTTTATTTGCTAAATCTGGCAGCCCTGTTCCTGAGATTACCTCTGACAGTATGGTTAGAATTTCTGGTGGACTCCTCTGCAATGCAAAGAGAGAATCAGGCTGCTCAGTGCTGGCAGAACTCCATTTGGGGGACTCCTCTGGGAACTGAGGAGTGGGGTGGGCAGGGAATGAAAAGCGTGATGGTGCTGTGGTGGGGACTTGTGCCCAGGGAGGAAGGGGTGGGTGGCTGGAGACATGTCAGGGTCCTGGGTGGGTACCTCTCTGGTCCATTTCATAATCTGTAATTATTGATTGGCTGATCGATTGGTTGTCTGTTTTGTGCCAGACCTAGGGCCTGATGGCAATTAGGGATGTAAAGGAGACCAAGACCCTCTTACCCTCAAGGAGCTTGAGGTCTAGCAGGAGAGACATGTATTTGACAAAACAATTACACAAATTAGAGTCATATGTTACTATAAATAGAGTCACGCACAGTGCTTTTCAAGGGCCTCTGAGTATCTTGCCAGTGCAACTAGAAGAAACGTGGCCATTTCGTTGTAAAACTGATCAGTGTGGATGTGTTTTTCAACCTTTTTCTCATTATCAGTCCTGCCATGATGCATTTTTAGACATCCTCCCAGCCCCCTTCCTACCTGAAATTTTAATATGACAAATACATTGTATATCTGTTTATGGACTGTAGTCCTTTGGAACGCTACAGACCACATTAATTTCTAATGTTTTATAACCACCCTTCCCAGAACAAGGGGGGCAGTATCACCTCTGGCTCTTCCCCCCTTGGAGGTGGTATTTCCTGTTGAAAAGGGTGGTATCGACATTTCCATCCCTAGTTGCGTAGAATAGCCTGGGGACTGGGGAGACCTTGATTCGTTGGAAACAGTGTAGTCTAGAGTCGCTATCAGTGCCTGGATTCAACCGTCAGCTCTGCCCCCTCATGGGTGTGACTGCAGGCAAGTTACTTAACCACCAGGCACCTCCATTTCCCTGTCTGTAAAATGGACATAATAATCAGTTCCTTCCTCGCAGGACTATTGTTAAAACACTCAGTGCTTAGAACAACACCTGGCACTGTAACCTGTTACTGTTATTAATAAATCAAAGTTTAAAGATGAAAATTACGTCTCAAAGCGGCAACGATGGTCCAGAGAGACTAGGCTGAGAGAGAGAAGGAGAGAAAGGAAGGGAGGTAAAGAGGAGGCCATGTGGGGAAATCAGCCAAGTATGTAATTCATCAGGTAAACTGGAGCTGTCCCAGAGAAATTCTAGAACTCCAGAGCCTGGGGGGCTTTTTTGTCACCCCCATGAGACTCTGGGCTAGTGGACTGAGGTCTTATCCAGAGGCGGCCTTGAGCTGGAAAATAGTGCAGCATCTAGAGCGTCTTCAACTACGTCTAGGCGTCCTCAAACTACGGCCCTCGGGCCACATGTGGGTGTTTTTGTCCATTTGTTGTTTTACTTAAAAATAAGATGTGTGCAGTGTGCATAGGAATTTGTTCATAGTTTTTTTTAAAACTATAGTCCGGGCCCCCAACGGTCTGAGGGACAGTGAACTGGCCCCCTGTTTAAAAAGTTTGAGGACCCCTGATCTAGAGAGTATAGAAAAACCAAGCAACGTGGGAGGGCTAAGCAAGCGAGCCCTTCCTGCGGCGCCGCGGGCAGGACGAACCCTCAGCTTAACGACCAGAGCCCGGCCTTACAGGCGGAGATGAGGGCAGCCCGAGGCCCGGGGTTCTTGACCTAAAATGAGCCCCTGAGCAAATGGGGATCCTCCCAGGGAAGCAGGAGTCTAGGCAGATGTTGGGGGAGCAGCGCTTCTAGACCACCCCTTGCTCACACCCTTGCCCGAGTCCCCTTGCCAGAGGCCCCCAGAGCAGCTGTCGCCTGTGCCCGGAGCACACCGCCTCCCCCCTGTTAACTTCCAGTCGCCCTTCAGCCCCAAGCACGGCCATCCCCTTCTCAGTGAGGCCTTCCCTGGTTGTCATGAGTGGATCCAATTCCCTGATTTGGATTTTCTTGTGATGGGAGTGGGGTAGCACCAGATCCCTCACACCCTTCAGTAGTGCTTTATTTTATTTTATTTTATTTTTTTGGAGACAGAGTCTTGCTTTGTTGCCCAGGCTAGAGTGAGTGCCGTGGCGTCAGCCTAGCTCACAGCAACCTCAAACTCCTGGGCTCAAGCGATCCTCCTGCCTCAGCCTCCCGAGTAGCTGGGACTACAGGCATGCGCCACCATGCCCGGCTAATTTTTTCTATATATATTAGTTGGCCAATTACTTTCTTTCTATTTATAGTAGAGATGGGGTCTCACTCTTGCTCAGGCTGGTTTTGAACTCCTGACCTCTAGCAATCTGCCCGCCTTGGCCTCCCAGAGTGCTAGGATTACAGGCATGAGCCACCGCGCCTGGCCCCAGTAGTGCTTATTACAGCTGAAATAATTCCAATTGTATTTGTTTAGTGTCATTTCTCTCCATCAGGAGGTGTAACCCCAGCACTTAGTACACACCACAGCTCATAGAAGGCACTCAGTGTGGTTTTTTAATGACTAAATGAATAAATAACACACACACACACACACACACACACACACACATATATATATATATTTTTTTTTTTTTTCTTTTGAGACAGAGCCTCGCTCGGTTGCCGAGGCTAGAGTGCCGTGGCATCAGTCTGGCTCACAGCAACCTCAAACTCCTGGGCTCAAGCAATCCTCCTGCCTCAGCCTTCCGAGTAGCTGGGACTACAGGCATGCGCCACCATGCCCAGCTAATTTTTCTATTTTTAGTAGAAAGGGGGTCTCGCTCTCGTTCAGACTGGTCTCGAACCCCTGACCTCAAACCATCCTCCCGACTTGGTCTCCCAGAGTGCTAGGATTTTAGGCATGAACCACCCCACCTGGCCTAATACTTAACATTTTCTGAAAAAGAAAGCAAGCTACTTTAGTGTGTATGTGTGTGTTGGGGGCGGGAGGCGGTACTTCCCTTTCAGCTATTCCCCTTTAATTTAATTACTATTTGGAGCTAAAATAGCACCAGGTGCCCAACACCATTTGGAACACTCGTAACCCAGAGCCTTATGAGCTTGGCCATTTTGACTTCACTGTCTATAAAATGCAGCCTTTATTTTGAATTCTACCGATCGGTAGTTTCGTACATTTTTAAATGGAACTGGGATTATTCCAGGAACAACCATTGCAAAGGCCATTTCTATACTTTTGTTCTTTATCTTGATTTGAGCTTAGAATCTGCTCAATAGGCGACAACCTCTGAGTACCAAAAGCGCTCAGCAGAGATGACGCTGTGTCTTGCAGCAGACAGTGCAATCCTCGCTGTCTGCAGATGCCCGTTGGAGAGGCGACGTGCTGCTGCAGCAACGAGCGACGGGCAGGGGCCACGGTCCAGATCTGAGCCAGGCTGTGCCCTTTGCCTAGTGTGCGGCAGATTAGGAGCCTCGGTTTCCCTATCCATGAACATTCGAGCATGGGACGACCCGGTCTCTAAGACTCTTTCTGTCATCAGAAATACTGTGGAAGTTCCCGCATTTGTCCACATCTGATTTTTACTGCAGGATCATTTTCTCTTTTAGTCAGAAAGTGTAGTCAAACAAATGACATCCCAGGGAATTTAAAGGGACTGAGTCACCAGCCCCTGGAGCAAACATCGTAAAACAAAGATGCTGAGGATGAAGAGTTTAGGTCAGAGGAACCTGGTGGTAACATTTGTAATGCCAGTATTCACTCAAGTCGAGATACTCTGTCCCTATAATTCTCCCAACTCTTTCTTTATCCCATGATTCGGGGGAAGGGGGGTGCAGAGTGTAGAAATTAGCACCCCTCACTGGAGAAATCTGATGTTTTGACATTGGACTTCAGTGTAACCATCAGAGAGAGAGAGAGAAAGGAAAGGAAAGAGGGAGAGAGGGAAGGAAAGGAGGAGGAAGAGAAGGACGAGGCGAGAGAGAGAGGGCAAGAGGAAACAGAACGAATGAATAGCATTTGATGAAGCTGTCACTGTGGAGGGGAGGGCTGCATCTAGCAGTGAAGCAAGGGGGATTGTGGGTACTCTTCCAGTTCGAAACCCCTTCCCCAAGTTCCATGCGACCTGCCTCGTACTTACTTTGTAGCCTAGATCGGTGATTCCCCCGAAGTGGAGTGTGGGAGAAAAATTCCATAATTTCTATTATCATTATATTTTAACATTTCCTTAACTTCTAATTTGGATTAATAAAGCCATACATGTTTATAATATAGAAATAAATAAATGCATGGGTTGGGGGTGCATGCTCAAAATGTTTTCACTGATAGGGACTTGATCAAACCATTTGGAGAGCGATGGGATAGGTGAGCACTCTGCCTTCTAACAGCAAAGTCCTCCTACCATCGCTTTGATTCCCAATGAGCTACTCACATGAGCATCATTAATAAAGCTTCTATATTTATTTTTTCCAAAAGGAAAATATCTTGGCTTTTTCCAGGATCTTAACATAAATCCACATTCACAGTAGACATGTGGAAAATACAGAAAATTATAAAGAAGAAAATTAACATCCTGCATAACCCCAGCCCATATTTATTTAAAAAAAAAAAAAGATCGTTCACTTGTGAAATCTTGAGACCATTTTGAATGTTTTTAACTCTCTAGGGTGCTGAAAAGTCACCCACCACTTCGGCCGACTGTAAGTCGGACAAAGCCAACTTCACACCCCAGGAGACCCAAGGGGCAGCCAGGAACCCCAAGGGCAGCAACCCGTCGGGTCACGTGCAGTCTGGGACGTCCACGGAGACAGTGAAGGAAGGTGCCAAGGAGAAATCGGGACCCACCTCTCTGCCGCTGGGCAAACTGTTTTGGAAAAAGGTAAGTCTGATTTTCCAAGATCTGGAGAGTCCTTGGGGCCAGGATGACTTGAGAAGTCGTCTCTATCGGGCCGATCATTGTACCTGACAACATATGGAGGGTTTTTTATGCCCCTTTCTTCTTCTTCTTCTTCAAAATGACTCAACTTACCAGTGAATTAAAGCTTTCTTTGCATGTACTCCTGGGAAACGAAATGCCTATCATGTTATAAACATGTGTTCGTGGGGAAGAAAAGGAAATGAACAAGTAGAATTTTTCATTCTTTGAATGACTCCGATGCATGAGGCAGGGTTGTGGTATTTCATGACTTCATTTTCCTTCTGAAATGGGTTATGATTTTGGCCGCCTCCCAGTTGTCTGTAAGCACTCGCGCCCTGGCACGATGACCCTCCTCGGGGCTCTCTGTCTTTGCTTCTCCCCAGCCGGATAGAACCAGTCATGGTGAGCCCCTGGGTCCTCAGTCTTCTCTTAGAAAACCAGGGTGTGCACCTGTTCACCACCCAGGGCAAGCACGCGCTGTGTTCTGGGACAGAAGATTCAAATCACTGTCTCATATTCCACCACCACCTCCCCCCCCCCCAATCTGGAATTAAAGTACCTGGGGGTTGTGGCGTGCAAGGAAATGGTGGGTGGGGCTGAGGACTTCTGCGAGCTTTTCCTTAATTGTCACTGCCGAGCAAGCGCCAGCTGCAGCACATGTTCGCAGCTCTCGCCTGTTTTGAATTTGGCCGAGCGTTGAGCAAGAAGGCAGGGATGAGGGGGTGGGTGTAATTCACAGAGCTGGAAAAATCCAACTCAGTAATTTCATCAAAACATCCTTGCCACTTGGCACTCCACGCAAAGCAGATGAGACATTCAGTTGCCGCTGTGGTGTCGGCTTCACTCCCTTGACCGGGGTCCAGCTGGATTTCTGAGCCTCTTCCCCGTTTGCTCCTGTTGTACCGAAATCCCCCTTCTCGCTCATTCCCAGAACACAAACACCAACGTTTCATGAAAACTTTGGATGATGTCAGTTGACATTTCTGTTCCAATCCTCCTTCTTCCCCCACCCACTCACTATGCCTTATCTTAACATGTCTCCTATCATTACCAGCGATATAATGGAGGGAACAATTTCCAAGTACATATGTGCATATGAGTGGCAAGGAAGATGACTTAAGAGGCTCCTATCTGAACACTTTATTTATTCAAAGTGTATTAGAAAAATAGAGCTAGCACATTAAACTTGAGATTTAAGATTTATATTGCTTGGCTGGGTGCGGTGGCTCACGCCTGTAATCCTAGCACTCTGGGAGGCCGAGGTGAGTGGATCGCTCAAGGTCAGGAGTTTGAAACCAGCCTGAGCAAGACCCTATTTCTACTAAAAAAATAGAAAGAAATTAATTGGCCAAGTAAAAATATATAGAAAAAATTAGCCGGGCACGGTGGCACATGCCTGTAGTCCCAGCTACTTGGGAGGCTGAGGCAGGAGGATCGCTTGAGTCCAGGAGTTTGAGGTTGCTGTGAGCTAGGCTGATGCCACGGCACTCACTCTAGCCTGGGCAACAGAGTGAGACTCTGTCTAAAAAAAAAAAAAATTGATATTGCTCAAGGTGAGACTCAATGTATTTAGTTTAAAAAGGAATCTAATTAAAAGGAAAGTATTAAATGAATAATGGCACTGATTTTAGGTAAGTGTGGGTCCTCCAAGAAGCAGATCTAATGGAATTGACAAGCAAGGGATCTGTGGGAGAAGGTTCCTGTGAAGGTTAAAGGGAAAGGGGAGGGGTGGGGGGAGGGGGGGAGTGGGGAGGGGGTGGGGTGAGGGAGGGGAGGAGTGGGTAGAAAAGACCTTCAGACCACAGGGCGGGTCTGACATCTGGGAAGGGAGAGAAAGAAGGAAGGAAGAGGCTCAAAAGAGCCTCACTCAGACTCAGAGTAGCACGAGAAAGCCTTGGCTAGGCCAACGCGGGCTCTTAGAGTACGGATTGTCCATTCCAGGAGTTTCACGCTGGACAGCAGTGAAGGGCGCGGCACCTCTGCCATGCTCGGTCACTGGCAGGAGCCACCAGGGAGAGCAGGGCCTCAGCAAGAACACTGCGGTGGCAGCCGAAGGCCTGGCAGGTGGGGGCCCGTCCTGGTCAGGAAGTCTGAGCCGCACGCTCCATGGCTGCCAGGGATGACACGTAACACACAGCAAAAGCCGCAGGGACAGTGGCCAGTGACTGCAGTTTGAGGAATACCGATGTAAGCGTTACAAGTCCGGAGCCAGACAGACTTGACTTTGGGTCTCAGTTCAACACTATAAGCCTCAGTTTCCTCATTTGTAAAAATGCAAATAATAATACTCCCTACATCATAGAAATGAAGTAAGAATTAAATGAAATAATGCCGGTGAAACAACAGCATGTGTGTGTCACAAAAGTGCCCGATGAACTGTCGCTGTGTCCTCTGTCGTTTGTTTCCTCTGGGCTCAGGAGGGTTGGAGAACTCACCATGTCAACCGCTTTGTCTTGGGTGCTGTCCAGTTCAGGGGAAAGCTGCTAAACTATTGCCTCAAGGGCTTATTTGATGTTTGGAATCTGTAAGGCACACGGTGGTTCCTCTTTGAAGTTCAAGCTATTTCCATTGACAATAAAAGTCAGGACAACTTGACATTCATTTCCCTAATGGTAGAATTTCATTTATTTCAGTCCCACTGTCTTTTGCACCATCATTCGGCTTTATTTCTTTAGTAGATTATTAAAATTATGAAGTTAAGAGAAACTAAAAAGCAAATCACCTGTCTCTCCTTCTTGCACCCAGTCAGAAAGAAAAGCTCTATATGGAAGTAAAATATGGAAGTCTCACTTATTCAACAATATTTTGATCACTTTCTTTGTGCTAACCTTTTTGTGCTAAGTACTAAGCATTGAAAAAATAGTCGTGAGCAAATGCCTTCCCTTTTCCAGCTTATATTCTTGTGGAGAAGCTTATTTTTCTAGTAGAAAGTGAAATGAAGACCTTTGTTTTCTTGTCTTTCAATTAGAAAGGCTGTCGTTATAAAATCATCCTTGTCAAAATTTTGAAAAATGCAATGGGAAAAAGCTAGGAAATTCTTTTGTTTTCTCTGATAACTAACCCTAACCTCTCTTTTTCCTTCTCTTAATTGAGAAGCTCTTAAACAAATTGATTTCAAAGTCTGTAAGTCTATAGATGCAAACTTTGGAAATTAATTTTTCCCATCACAGGCTATGGATAGGAAAGTATAAGTTATTTTGATTCATAGTCTTGACTGCTGAAATACTTCTTATTATAAAATAAAAACAAAAATAGCCTTTGAGGATATTAATTTCAAATTATATTTTACTTCTTCCATGTGTAAGAAGTGTAAAAACCAGTTACCTGGGGTAAATATGCCCTTTAGTATTCTGGGCTAACTGGGTTGCCACTTGCCCTGTGACCTTACGTAAGTTATTTGCCCTGTTTCTGTTTCTTTTTCCTCATCTACTGAATGAGAGGGGTGGGATGTGTACGTAATCTTGATAATTCTTGTATATGGTAAAATCTTGCATAACAGAATCAAAAAGATTGGGCTGTGTAACCCTGGCCAAGTTGCTCGACCACTCAGAGACCCTATTTTCTTATCTGTAAATTAAGGACTGTGTTTATCTCACAGTGTTGTTGTAAAACACCAATAATTGTACACAGAGAGCACCTGAGACATAGTAAGCGCTCAGTGCATGATGTTGTCATCATTTCTTCAAGTGTGAACAGTCAGTGGTCACGACTAAATGCTCATGTGTGGCTTCTGGTACCAGCATCACCTTAAGTATAAAAAAGTGTAAGACTCATTTGCTATCAAAAGACTTGAAATCCTTTTGGAGGAACATGATACACACACACATACACACACACACACGCATGCTTGTGTGTGTGTGTGCACGTGTGCATATGTAATTAGTAAATGATATATTTGGAATATCTTCAAAATAACCCTTTTCCTACTTTCCTTTGGGAGAGACAGATGGTACAGTGGGAAAATACTGTGAGCTCTGAAACCACAGAGACACGTTATCAAATCTCAGTTCTGACAGTTCCTGGCTGTTTGAATTTCACTCGATCACTTAAACCCTCAAGCTTCAGTTTCTTCAGCTATAAAACCGGCCAATGCTATCGACCTTCCATGTTTATTGGGAGGATTGAGTTAGAAAAAAAAAAAAAAAGTACTCCAAGTGACTGTTACTCAGTGGGGTATAACGCTCTTCCAAAACAACAAAGTTTGCAATTTTGTGTTGACTGTGGGGTACAGATGACAAATGCTAGGGGTGTTTAAAAAAGAGAATAGTCAAAAAATAATAATAATAATAAAATAAAAAATAAATGAAAAAGAGAATAATCAGTATAAATGAAAATAGAGAACTTAAAAATTCATCTGGATCATTTGTTTCAAATGCAAATTTTTACGCCTCCCCATGAGGATTCTGGTTAAGAAAGTCTGGGCGTGTGGCCGGACAATTATGGAAGCACTTGAGAGACAGGCTGAAAAATCTGAGCTGGACAGAAAAGGTCTCAGGGCTACTGAAATCAGTGAACTGAAGAGCTGTTGCATGATCAGAGTGTGCTTACAGAAGACCTGCTAGGAACAGGACAAATGTTGGCTTCAATGATACCAGGTGAAAGCAAGTTAAAGAATTTTCTTTTATGCATTAAAAGCAAGTTTCTTTTAGGAATTGGATGTGCTCTTTAAAGGAGAGAAACACTTATTATTCAAGCGAATACTGACAAGTTACGTGCTGTTTAGCGCCTTATCCTTGGCAACATAAATGTCCAAACAGGATCCTGTGGATGTTAAACTAGATTTTTATTGTTGTTGTTCATGAGGCTGAACTATTTTTAGATTCGCCAGATAATAGCCAGATGTCCAGCGCATGGAAGAAGGCTGGGAGGGTTTCTGGTTTTGAGATTTGAAGGAGGGTCTCACGCTCTGTAAGTTTCTTGATTGTGCTGGGAGTTCGCGGACCTAGGAAATGCCTCTCAGTCTGCAGAATTGAGACTTCACTTTCAGATCATTCTGTTCTCCCATTTACACCAAAGTGAGCTGCTTTATTGCACCAAAGTGAGCTCATTTACACCAAAGTGAGCTGCTTTATTGCATCCAGTTTTTCTTCTTGTCTCTGCAACCGCCTTCCTGAATTTGTTCCCGATGTGGAAGAATGAAGTCGGTTTTCCTCCTCATCAGAGTTTATTCCCTACAACATCCTCATTGGCGGCAGAGAGTAATGAATTAGAATCTAGAACTTCCGGTTCCTCGGCTCATAGTCTTTCTGCTAGGTGGAGAACACACAGAGAAAAGGAAAAAGTTGCCCGAAGCCTTCATTTCTCATTGTGTATTGAGGGTGGAAACCAGGCTGAGTACAAACAGAGATGAAATGCGAGGTCCAGGCTTGGCCCAAGGAACTGGTTCAATGAGGATGCTTTAATGCACCGTGAGCTTTCAGCAAGAGCAGAGACACACCTCAAACCCCAAAGGGAAGTGTAACGGTAGGGTAGGTGTGAAAGTTTAATACATGTTGGAATAGAGACCTAGAAATGAAGAGAAATCTGCTCCCGTGTTGAATACTAACTTGGAATGCTAATGGAAAGCAACTTAACCCACTGTCTGACAGTAATAGCCCAATAGTAGCCCGATAATTTGAGTTATTAATCATTATTATTTTTGTGAGTGTTACCAATTTTTTTTCAGCTCTGTACAGTTCACCTAATACACACTATGATGGAGGGATACAAGCCAATAAAGAGTATTTGCTAAGGAACAAAACACACTGCAAGAAGCTGTCTTTGGAATTGCCACTGGAATCTGGCCTTGGCCCTGTGTATTCAAATTTTTTATCAGTGACTTGGACTATGACCTAAAAAAGCACACTTATCAAGTTTATAAAATGAGTGGGCTCATTAATGCAATCCAAAATGTAAAAGATAAAGATCTCAAAATACTGACACAATGGGCTGAAGTTTGTATGACCCAGAATTTTTGTTTTACAAAGGTCGATGTGCCTTTATTGTATATTATACCATCAAGATCTTAACTGAGGCCCAAGTCATCCCTACCCCATTCCAACTTTGGAGCCTAAAATAACCTAAAAGCAATGTTTAAAATGTCTGTTCATAAGGGGTTCAGGAGCAAACACACATCTGGCCCAGGCAGACTTAAAGGCGTTTCAAAAGCAGCATAGAGTTAGTCAAGAGAAATCTTAAATAGATCTACTAGACTCAGCCAGTGTCACTTCTTCCCAGCATTCATGAAAGTTGCTACATGCCATGTGCAGGCACTGTGCTAGGGGCTTTACTTATGCTAAGTCAATATCAGCAATTTTCATAGACTGATGGACATAAACCCATGCCCCCACTCATCCTGCCCAAATAGTTCTAGGAACCCAGGACAGGTGATCATGAGTCAGTCTGGGCTGCCATATGAACCTACTAGGTGATCGTCCCCAAGCCACAACACTGCCACCAGCAGATCCACCAAGGGGAAGGTCCGTGCCAGTTCACCCTACCCATCACTGCTGTTGGGCTTCACAAGCCTGCCATGGTCACCCACTTGGGCCCCAGAGTGACCCCATTTGACAGGACTCACCCTCGGCATCCTCACAGCCCTCTTTCTCCCCAGTACACACCTAATTCAAGGACAGCTGAGGCGGACTGAGTTGCTCTCCCAGCCACCAGCACCCTAACCAGAGCTACTATTTCCCACTAGCCCTGGTGGTGACAGATTCACCTGAAATTTCCACCAGTGAATTCTCTTTCTGGGGTCCATTTTTTTTTTTTTTTTTTTTTTTGAGACAGAGTCTCACTTTGTTGTCCAGGCTAGAGTGAGTGCCGTGGCGTCAGCCTAGCTCACAGCAACCTCAAACTCCTGGGCTCCAGTGATCCTTCTGCCTCAGCCTCCCGAGTAGCTGGGACTACAGGCATGTGCCACTATGCCCGGCTAATTTTTTATATATATATATCAGTTGGCCAATTAATTTCTTTCTGTTTATAGTAGAGACGGGGTCTCGCTCTTGCTCAGGCTGGTTTTGAACTCCTGACCTTGAGCAATCTGCCCGCCTCGGCCTCCCAAGAGCTAGGATTACAGGCGTGAGCCACAGCGCCCGGCCTGGGGTCCATTTTTTGAAATCTTTATTTCTGCTCCATTTCATACACCTTGACTTATAGAAAAGGCTATAGACAACTGAATTCTAATTATAGACATGGTTCAAGTTGTTCCTGCCCCCACCTCGCCCCCATATACACACACCTTCCAGGGGCTCCAATTCCCACGTAAATGACAGTTTTCGTGTAAGTACCAAGAGGAGCTGTGTGGACTTGACCACAACTGCCAGACTACACCTGCTCTGTTCCAGCCAGGTCTAGCCATGGTTTTCCCTACACATGGTGTATTTTATTTTTTCCTTAAAACAACCCTATGTTAGATAGTCTAATAGTCAATCTTTGGGTAAATGAACTGAGGCTCAGAGAGATGTGATTAATTTGCCCCAGGTTATCCACTGAAATTGAACCTGACTCTACAGTCCATGATGCTCTAGACGTGGGTTCTGAGCATCAGGAAAGAATTTTTCTCTGACATGTGCCGAACACTAAAAGGGGACCAGAACCTGGCTTCTCATTATCCACTTTTGGGTCCTTTTATTAACTAGAGATTTCAACTGCGGACATGAAGGCTACACCTGTGGGCCAGTGTGCAAGTATACAAAAAAGTTCAAAATGATTTTGGATGGTCCTTGGATAAAGTCCTAAAAGAAATTTAATCAGTTACATAGTAAAAAGCTATCTCCTTTTTCCATTCCATTCCAATTCTTTTGGCAACATTAAGAAGAAAGTGTCTTCTTGATATTGATAGGCATTTACCACTGTGCTAACACTTGCTGATCTCTCTTCTTAATATTGCATTTGTTTTAATACATTCTCTTTACAGCAAGAATGTTGCTATTACATTTACTGTAATGAGACTTTTAAAAATATATATATATATTTGAGTAAAAAGTCAATTTAAAGAAAAATATCAAGTAAATACAAGTGGTACATGGACAGATCGAGAATTAGAAGATGGTTTGAAAATCACTGAAGCACACACAAGAGATGCTCAGATGGATGCATTCCCAAAATAAGGGATGTTTTTCTGGGTAGTATGACTTTAAAAATAAAAAATAGCTATCTTTTGGGGAACAGGCAATATTTATAAAGCTAGTTTTTTAGACCTCAGAAAGATCTGGAAATCTGAAATCATAATGAAGGTCAAGGAAACATCAGAATTAGTTCCTTCTGCTCCTCACCATGTTGCCAGTTTCCTCTGGAATACAGTGAACAATCAATGGCCAGGAACTTTCCAGACACAGGAAATCAAAGATAAAAACTAGTCTCGTTACAACCAACTGGGACAGGAATGAGGGCTTGAAAACCTTGAAGTTTTATTCTTAAATACTGCTAGGATTTTCTCAGTCTAAAGCAGACAGTGTATCAATTCCTGAAATTTTTGTGGGCCAGGCTTGAGGAGGTCTGGCTTTTAAAAAAAAAATCATTTGATTCTTTACCTGTTCGTAGTATTAAATAGCGTCCAGCTGGTCTTGGAGGAAAGGGGCATAGTTCCAAGGAAGTAGCACTAGTTGCTGAGGTTTTTTTTAATGCACTGTAATTTCCTGATTAGTAGAAGCCTCCAGAAATGCCACGATTCTCTTCAGGGCCATTTTCGTGCCCAGGGAAACTTCACTATGGGAAGAAGATCTATAGGAATAAATGATCCAAGCTGAAGATCTCACCTAGAGAGATAGCAAGTCTGGAAGTGAAGAAAGAAATTCACATAGTCACCAAAAAATGTGTATCTGATCCTGAATTTATCATAGCTGGGAATAAATTTGACCCTTAGAACCATTTCCACTGCTTTCTAGCTGTTCAACCAGAGCAAGGGACTTTACCTCTCTGTAGCCCTATTTCTTACTGTGCAAATGAGGATCTTGATACTTACCATTTGGGGGGGGGGGATTTTAAGTGCATGCAAAACACTCAGTGCAGAAGACATATTTGTAAATATCACTTCCCTTCTTCCTCTCCCACTGGCTGTTTTAAAAGGGGGGTAAATGATAGGCCTTAGTAACAAGATGGATACAAGGAAACATTCTTAACCTGGAGTCCAAGAGAAGAGAGGCAGAATGTCTGTGAAGCCTGATATTATTTGCAAAGTATTTTGTTTATGTTCATTTTGGAGGGGAGGAGGGTCCAGATCTAGCCAATGAGTCTCTTCTCTAGGCTTATTGCCAGAATTTTGTTTTTACCTAACAATGACTGTGTGTATGTCCGTCTTTTCATGGGCCACTAGAAAATGTAATGGCAAGTGTGTTGCGCACCCACAGCTAAGACTTTGTGGTTTGTGTTTTCTGTAGCAAGACCCCTCCCCTCTCCATTTGTATCTTGGCTGCCTCTGTGTGTTAATCTGCACTTTGTTGCATTTTGAAATACATGATTTTTATATATTTCCTGCATTTTTGTAGGCCTCCTTCAAGTTCTTTTTGGAACAAGGTCTGCACACTCAACCTATTGTCTAAGAATTGCACCATAGGGCTGTTAGCCCATTTAACCCTTTGCTTTTATGTAACAGTTTTTTTGGTAACATCTTAACTCTCACTTTTGTTTTTATCTTCCTTTAGTCAGTTAAAGAGGACTCAGTCCCCACAGGTGCAGAGGAGAATGTAAGTTATGCATTAAACCACAGAATCATTCCACTCTCATCTTCTGCGTGTCCAATCACTGGGCATTTTCAGCTCTGGGATCCTGTGTTCTTGCATGTTCCAAATGTTATTCATCTGCTGTAGACTCTTTCACTCTGCCATGTGATTAGGGATTAATGGGGAATAACATTGCATAAATTTTTGTAAATTCCCATTAAACCAATGCAAAATAAGTGCAAAATCAGAGCACGTATTTTTATGTTGTCAGTTAGGGGCTGAAAGAGTCTACTAAACATAGGAACAGCTTTGCACTTCCCGAAGGGATAATGATGCTGCATATTCTGCTTCACTCTGCCATGACTGATCATTCACTTTTATTTCTATGGTGATCCAGCTTCTTACTAACTTTGGGTGGTACCCACACAGGTAGTTGCATCGGGCATGAGAACATCTTGTAGCAATAGATGCTGAGACTGTCACTCTCGGGCTGGAGAGCTGACTCTATGGGTCTACACTTGAGACAGATAGGTTGAGCCTATCGTGAGACAGATAGGTTAAGCAATATTGCCAAAATTTTTAAGACAGTATATTCATGGCTGAAGGGATGGTACTAGATAAAACATCACAAAAATACATCTTTCCAAGACATTTTTCAGGGAGACTAATAAATTGGCCTCATGAGTTTCAGACCCAAAACAGCAGCTCCCTGCCCTGAAAAAAGTACAGTCTTTGAAAAATTTTATAAGTGGGGACAAGTGAATTCATAATCGGTTAAGATAGAAACTGAACATTACCATTTTTCCAAAGCAAAATAGGTATGGCGTCTTCTGGGTATCTCTTGTTTACCTGTCATGGATAAGGCAGTGTTTTCATTTGTATTTAGGGACTGAAACTGAGCAGACATTGAAAATTAAAACATGTTCGAGAAATGTTGTCCATGATGTGGAATGAAAATTAGCGTGGCTGTGTTATAATTCTTGTTAGGAGAAAGAATTTTTGAACTCTATCTGTCATTTTTGTTGTTTTTCTTTTCTTCCCTTCTTCCCTTCCTTCATTCCTTTCTTGAGCCAAACTTAGCAGCTCACCAAAGCTCAGGTCTCTCATAATTCCAGAAAATTCTCATGAATTACTGGCTGTTTTCTAGAGAGCCAAAGTCTCTATTTCAGCAACCTATAAGGAAGAAGTCCCTGAGTCTTCTTCCCATCAACTTTGAATTTTAATGCTGCAGGTAAAATCTGGACAATCAGTTAGCGTTGAGGTTCTGAGCTTTCTGAAGAAAACCTCTTTTTGGATGTTGTGTATAGTTCTTGTCTGAGGAACCCTTTGCTGCCTGCGGCTAAGATGCTAAAATGCAGAGTTGATCTCTAACAGGCAAACAGAAGATACTTCATTTTCTAGTGTGAAATTTCAGAAATATAAACATGAATGAAGAGTTAAATTATTGATACCAAATGATAACATGAAAGCTGATAGGGACATAAATAAAAGGCAAAATGTTTTTTAAAGAAAATAAAGAAGCATTATAAAACTTGCTTTAACCCAGGCACCGTGGCACACCCCTGTAGTCCCAGCTACTTGGGAGGCTGAGACAGCAGGATTGCTTGAGTCCAGGGGTTCGAGACCAGCCTGGGCAACCTAGCAAGACCCCATAGGAAAAAAAAATTATTTTAAGTAATTTCTTTTAATTGCTTTAAATTGTTTAGCTTTAGAAACAGTATTTCTCTTCTTAAGTTTCAAAATTTCATTTTCTAACAGCCTCTCACTTGGAGGGACTGAGGCTACACAGTTGTGATTTTGACCCCATTTTCTCCAGAACATGCCACCTTTTGAGCTTCAGTTTACCCGTCTATTAAATAGTGATAATATTATCTAGGTTTTATGGCTCTTGGAAAATTAAATGAGATGATGCATCTAAGGTGCTTACGTTTGTGCCTAAAACATAAAAAGAACTCAGTAATGTGGAGGTCAACAAACTACAGCCCATGGGCCAAATCTAGCCCATCACCTATTTGTATATGGCCCACAAGCTAAGAATGATTTTAACATTCTTGAATGGTTGGGAAAAAATTGAAAAGAGAATATTTCGTGACAGACACATAACAATTATATAAAATTCAAATTTCAGTGTCTGTAAATAAAGTTTTATTAGCACACGGCCACGCTCGTGCCTTTACGTATCACCTATGGCTGCTTTGTCACCAGGCAGTAGAGTTGAGCAGTTGCAACAGAAACCGTATGACTAGCAGAGCCCTTTGCAGGAAAAGTTTGCAGCCCCTGTAGTAATTGTTAGTGAGTGGGAGACAACATAGTAAGTTACATCCCAGTAATCAGTACTTACACTTCTTAGTGAAACTGTACAGCTCACAGATGACCCAGTGGCCACATGGATTGACAGAATATGTAAAACAGACTTAGTTTAATTTCTTCCTCCAAAATAAGAAAGAGATGACATTAGTCAAAACAATGTATCATATTCTAAATCTTCAAAACAGGACAATTAGATGTGATTAACCATATTACAAGAGTGCTTTAACTAGTGACTTCTTCTGGCTAAAATATGGCTGAGTGAGTTTATTGTTTTTTAAATTTCTCTACCTACAACTTTCCAAAGCCAATCTACCAACCAATGCAAGGACCACACCTGTGTTTTACAAAACAAATGATTTTAACATTTCTCAAAAGTTTTTCATAAAAAGAAAAATAAGGTTTTTGAAGCCCATGGAAATTTTCCCAGAATGTGCTTCTAGTCATATCAAAAATAAATTTATATGGACTATAGAAATTATAGAATCCTTCAGTCGTAATCTGAAAATGGTTTGGCCACTGGTTAATTGAGTTAATGTTCAATGAAAAAGAAATCTTTCCTTCCAGTGACCTATGAGACCAAGGAAATAGATATTTCTGTTGTTTCTCTCTCTCAGTAATTAACCAACCTCCCCACTGCAAGTGAAAGAAACCCAACTCAACCTGGATTAAAAAGAAAATGAAATATATATGGGCTTTCATCAATCACTAGAAAGTCAAACTGGTTTCAAATGAAGTTTGTTTCAAGGCTCTCCCTTGGCTTAGCCTTCTTGGCCTGGCCACATTGTCAGCAGTGCAACACCACATCACCTAGTCCAGAGTAGAGAGATGTTCCACTAGCAACCCTGCGTGCCTTGGAATTTGTTCTCTTCCATTGGCTCGAATGCATTCACGTGCTCTGGTAGTCAGCGTTTGCCAGGTTATGTTGCAGTAACAACCAAGCCCCTAATTTCAGTGGCTCTTCTTTTTTTCTCACTCATGCTACAAGTCAGCTGTAAATTGGCTGTAGCTTACCCATGTGGCATCTTCCTGCTAATATCTAGAGAGAAGCAGCAGCCCCTTCAACAAGGACATGCAGTTCTAGCTGCCGAGAGAAAATAGTGCCACGCTGAACCATGCAATGGCCCATGCAGCTTCCTCTCAATCGTGATTTACATCACATCAACTCACATTCCATTCACTAAAGCAAGTCAGACAGCAAAGGACACAGTTGTGTAATTCTTTTACAGGAAGATGGAATAAATAATTGGGAAAATAAAGCAGTCTGCCACTTACTGCCATCCCTGAACCAACATAGGCAAGGAGCTAGACCATGTTGACTTGTTTAGACCTTTTCAATTGTCTTCCTCCAAATCACATAGTCTTGAACTTAGGCAAGATTGTTCCCCGAAAGCAAAACTGGGGTATGTAAGCAGATATAAGGGAGATAGTTACTGAGTAGAAAAAAAATCTCTGAAAATTCTTTGTAATCAAATTATTAATCCAGTAAAATAATTTTTAAAGATTCTAAAATAAAAATCTTTAATATCAATATTATGAGGTTGTGAGTAAAGTTTAAGTGGAGGAAATCTATTTTGGTATAAATTAGTTTCTAAAACTCACAGCTTTAGTAAAAACTGTATACACCAAAATTCAACAGTAGGTATGGTATAAAATTTGAGGCAAAAAGAGAAGCCCTCTACTGAGATGTCTATTGTCTGTATTAAACATATCAGCCATCTTCATGTGATGTGTACCATATCACTAATGAAATGAAGCAAGGGTTATTTAATTCTAAAATATAGTACATATCTGATTTTAATTATGTCCATCATGCCCCAAATTAAAATGTGCAGATGCAGTCATACATTCTAAATAGAGAACAACTTTTTCCAATGCCTTGGCCTGGAAGGAAGTTGGAAAACTATCCAAATAAAAATTGAATTCTTATGTCTGTATGTACAAATCGTATCCTTACTTAGCCCAAATTGTTCTGGGTTTCCCTACTGGATATCAGTGGATTTTCCTTGGCCAACTTTTTGGCCTGACTCCAAAACTAACGGAAGTCTCTAAAAGTCTCTCTCTCTTTTTTTTTACCTACTGATACTGAAATAGTTGTATTTTGGAGAATGAACTTGTGGCCTAGAATTTATAAGTTGACACCTCTCAACATTTAAAAAGTCACAGCAAAGGAACCATTAGCATTTATATAAAGTTGATTTATAAAATTATTGTCATCCAATCTGACAATGGATTATCTGAGTAATTTTCCCTCCTGGTCCTTGAGCACATGATAAAAGAACTTACTATTTCAAAGACAGGATAGTTCTGAACCCAGGGTTCCCAAGGTCCAACTTTGTTCATTACCTATGTAAGAGCCATTTTCCATTTATCAACTCCTCTACCCTTGATCTCAGGCAAGATGGGCAACTACTATACCCCCAAAGTATTTAATCATGATTGATCTAAACCAGTAATCTCATTTTCTTCACCAATAATTAGCTAAGGGGTAAGGATGTGACCCAGTTCTGACTAATGAAATTTATGTACCCTGAAAGAGAGGATCAAAATACGGAAGTTCATTTGGAGCAAATCTTTTGCTGTGACCTTCCTGCCTTCTCAGGACATTGGGTTGAGGATGTGATACCTGGAACTGTGGCGGCTACTTTACTACCAGGAGGTAATACCTAAAAGGATGAAAAATCCAGCATGCCAAGAATGGCAGAGCCAAAGAATAGAAAGAATCAAAGTCCTTAGAAACATTGTGTAAAGCCAACAGAACCAACCCCAGAACTTCCTGCTGTTAAACTTTCATTCCCTATTTTGGTTGATTAAGCCACTAGTAGCTATTCAGTTACTGGCAGAAAATGCCATCCTCGTTGCAATGGCTACTTACCTATAGTGTCACTTTGGCCAAGTCATTCAACCATTCAGACTCTTCATGTGTAGAATGGTGATAATGCTATCTTTCCTGAGCTGTCTTTGTAACCATTTCTTGAGGTTATACACACACACACACACACACACACATATATATACACACACACATACATATATACATATATATACACATACATATATATATAAATACCTTGCACAATGCCAGGCATAGTAGAAAGAGGTAGTTATTATACTAATACAATCGTCTTTAAATAATAGACTTGTGCATGGTGGGTGATTCCAGATAATTCATGTTCATGGAGTAAAGAGCGCTAATATTCATTAACACAAATAACAACCACTAGCATTAATTAAGCACGCATTGTGTCAGACACAGTTCTAAGACCTTTACCCGTGTTGCCTGATTTAACTCTCACAACAGCTTTCTCCCGTGTATCCACCCCCATCGAGAGCAGAGAAAACAGGAGCTCGGAGATGGGGCGCCCCGACCTTAGCTGAGCACACCCAAAAGGAGCACGACAGATCTGGACCCTGGCAGGTTGCTTTAGAGCCCGTGCTCCACGCCTGCATTTCAGGCTCACCCCAGGGCTGTTGTGGCCGAAGCTTATTTGTCAGAAATGCAGTTGAATTAAATCAGCTCTATATGTAGAGACCCACGTCCACAGCTGACTGCCAACCCCGGTCTGTGTGTGGCTCTGGTTTCAGCCTGGCTTCATAAAAACAGAGCAAGGCCAAAACCCAGCAGCCCAGCAGCAGATGCTCACAGACGTGTTTTGTTTGGCCAAGCCAGCATTTTTATTCTTTTAATGTCTTTAGACAGGACAACTTACCTTTTTTTTTTTAAATATATATATATATATATATATATTTTTTTTTTTTTTTAGTTGTCCAGCTAATTTCTTTCTATTTTTTTTAGTAGAGACAGGGTCTTGCTCTTGCTCAGGCTGTCTCGAACACATGAGCTCAAATGATCCACCCACCTCGGCCTCCCAGAGTGCCATGATTACAGGTGTGAGCCACCATGCCTGGCCGGGACAACTTAACTTGAGTCTGCCATCGTCCCACCATTCTCTTTTGTCCTGTAACTGGTCCCTTCATGCTGCTATTACCCACCTCGCCTCCTGGAGGCTTTTGAGTTTATAACTCCCCAAAATAGGTCTTTGTTTACAAAAAAGGAAATGCTAGAAATCTTAAGATATGTCAGGTGGGGATATACTACCATGACTTAGTTGCCAAACTCCAGGGTGTTCTGCGTGTCGATTTGTGGATGCAAAATGACAAGAGCTGGGCTCAGGCGCAGGTGAACAGGGCCTTGCACCTGCGGCCCCCGCTCGCCCACCCTGCTCCCTGCGGCGTTCATGGGACCCTGAGCTCACTGGGTGCCCAGCGGGGGGGGGGGCCGCAAACAACTTGGCCGTCGTTTTTCTTGCCAAGTTCATTTCTCGTCTGAAATCATGACCTTCCATTAATAACCAAGGACAAATGACTGGTCTGGGGGCAGGTGGGAAACAAGTTAATGAGGAAGGCCAGTTGAGCAAAGCGAGTGGCGTTTACACTGTCCCTTCTGCAGGGAGGACTAAGATGCGGGCTGGAAGGTGTCATGGTTACCATCTCTAAGGCGTGACTCTTACGAAAATGATTATTCCTGATTTCTACACAGGCCAGGTGGAATTCACCTTTGGGGCAGACCAAAGAGGTGGGCTTCCTAGGAGGGGAGGGGTCCTGGGCATGCTCCGAAGGGCAAAAGGGACCGCATATGTGTGCCTCGTACCTTCATGGGGGAAGGCATGTTGCCACTTCCACATCTAAATTGGCAGTTGTTCAGAAACTGACTGTTTAAGAGCACATCGTATGACGCGAGCATTAGCTTGAAGACGTGCTTGTGTAGAAATGGTCGCGGGGTCAAATCCGCAGCTGCTATGCGGACAGGGGGGCAACCAGGAACCCATTCTATAAAGCATGTTTGGGGGAATTTTTTTTTTTTTTCATTTTCTTATTACCTGGCAAAATAATCCAGGTGGTGTGTGAATCACCAGTAGAGATTATAAAGTCCACGGAAGTAGACTCAGCCTTACAAACAGTGGATCTCAACGAAGAAAGAGATGCTCCACCTGAACCCGCAGAAGTCAAACTCAAAAGAGAAGAGAGCAAACCACCAAGAACCTCCCTGATGGCGTTCCTCAGACAAATGGTAAGCCGCTTACTCCCTGTACTGAAACACCTGGATGAGCTTCCGGGAATGCAGGCCCCATGCCATAGCTGGTACGACACGTGACTGTAGGTGGCGTGTATGGAGTGTGAGTGGAAAACGCATTGTGCAGTAAGAAAATTCCCTTTTCTCCTTCTGATTCAATCATACAGAAAGCCTCATGTTATTGCTGATAGTCTTTAACCCTTTTTTAACCACTGCTAACTCCCTTTTATTTTTTTTTGAGACAGAGTCTTACTCTGTTGCCCAGGCTAGAGTGAGTGCTGTGGCGGCAGCCTAGCTCACAGCAACCTCAAACTCCTGGGCTCCAGCGATCCTCCTGCCTCAGCCTCCCGAGTGGCTGGTACTACAGGCATGCGCTATCATGCCTGGCTAATTTTTTGTATATATATTAGTTGGCCAATTAATTTCTTTCTATTTATAGTAGAGATGGGGTCTTGCTCTTGCTCAGAACTCCTGACCTTTGAACTCCTGACATTGAGCAATCTGCTTGCCTCGGCCTCGCAGAGTGCTAGGATTACAGGCGTGAGCCACCGCGCCCAGCCTGCTAACTCCCTTTGTAACATAGAAAGTGTTGGCCTTGGGTCTCGAGCTTTGGCAGACAACAGTGTCCACCTAGAAGTTAATATTATTGTTTGCTTCTAATTTTTTTTTTTTATTTTCAAAGTTTCCTTCTGTGGGTGGCCAATGATACCCAATGATACCACTTTTCTCATTATGGTAATGGTATGAAATTTCCTTTGAAAATATATTTATTTACATAAAGAACATAAGGCATTTTTGGCTAGGTGTGGCGGCTCACACCTCTAATCCCAGTTCTTTGGGAGGCCAAGGTGGGAGGATTGCTTGAGGCCAAGAATTTGAGACTAGCCTGGGCACATGGCAAGATTTCATCTCTACAAAAAAATAGAAAAAAAAAAATTAGCTGGGTGCAGTGGTGTGAGCCTGTAGTTCCAGCTACTCGGGAGGCCGAAATCACTTGTATCCAGGATTTCAACGTTGCAATGATCGCACCACTGCACTCCAGTCTGGATGACAGAGTGAGATCTTGTCTCTAATAAAATAAAATAAAAAAAAACAAAAGAAATAGTCCAAGTTAAATATTGAAGTGGCAAAAATTCTGAAGGTAACATGAGAATAACACAAATTTGGACAAAGCTGATCTATAGATAATTCAAATGAGGAAATGACAGCATAATATTCTACTGGTAAATACATATAACTTAGTGAATTTGCCAGGTTTTTAATTTGTATAGAATAGAAAGCATGTGGACAGACATCTTTTGGTGTCTATAGTCATGTACGTTAAATATCCAAACAGCCAGGAACTTAAGTAATATACTACAACAAAACCTAAATCAGTTGGAGGACAAAAACCAAAAGTCCATGCAAAGGGTCATTGGTTTAATTCTCTTTTGATGAAAAACAAGAATTTCATTATAGTGCGCCTTTATTTTCAGGAGTATTTAAGAGTTTAATCCTTTGAGAAGGCAACTCTCTAATTTCACAGGCTCAACCTGTTAAGGAATTCTTTCTAGTCCACAAAACAAAACAAACCCTTGCCAGTGGGAGTTGAGGCATATTAGAAATAATTATGCTAGAAATTGTTGGCTGGAATCGTTTTCTTTTCTTGTTAGACTCTCATGAAGGAAAAAGTTTAGAATAAGTAGTAGGCCTGCCATATGGCCAAAACCCCATCTATACTGCTGGCCATTTGATGTGCAATTTGGTGCTGAAAATGGAGATTAAGATTTGAGATTTTTTTAAAAACCAATGTTTATAGGCTACCAGGGAAGAAAAGAACATTTGGCCTGTTTCTGGCAACTCATCTAACTTACAAATGGGATCCCCAAATAGATCATCACAATATTGATGGTGATCAGCTTTCTCATTTCTGGATGGAATTGAGAGATACAGAAAAAAAAAAAAAATAGCAAATAGAATGACAGTCTTTTCCAAATAACCGACACAAAGCTTCTTCATCTAAAAGAGGGAAAAATACAAAAAAAAAAAAAAAAGTCCAAATAAAGCATGAAAAAAACCTCTAAACCACTCACTGCATCCATCCAAAAGAAATTCTTAAATTTGAATGAAGTCCCATGTTAAACTTACCTCCAGAGCTATCTGTTAGATGTTATTTGGGGGAATTTTTTGGTAGTAGAACTAGGTAAGTCTAAATGGCTAGGGGAATGAATTGGAAATAAATTCATTGGAATTCATTCTTTATAGGATGGGGCTAGAGGTAGGCAAGGACACATTTTTTCCATGCCATCCCCAGCAGACACTCTGGAGTGTCAGGACTTCCCTGTCCATTGTTCTTATTACCTACCTACAGCACACGAAAAGAGTTATGCCTGGAGTGGGGACATTAGTCTTTCCTTTTAAAGTTTAAACACTACTTCCAGGGTTTCTGGATTTCCCCTAAAATTACAGATACCCTAATTATTGTCTTTCTTTTTTTCTGTTTTGTTTTCATTAGAACATTATATTTACATTATGATTAATCGAGACACATAAAAAAGGTGGATTTTCCAGCTTGCCAAACTTCCCCACCACTCCCTATTGTCCCACCCAGCCCAGCCACTTATTTGTGTTACTAGCCCTTTCCCTCCGTGTATTTGAATTTGCAACCCCTAATAGGGGACTATCTCATTCTTTAGAACACCGTCTTTGAATTACGTTGTCTGGATTTATCATACTCAGCTTACCCACTGCCCTCTTGATGGATATTTGGCTTGCTTCCAACTTTTTGCATTTCATTCATTCATTTATTTATTCAACAAATAATTATTGAGTTGCCCACTACATTCCAGGCACATGGGATGCAACCATAAGCATAAACAGATGCCCTCTCTTTCTTCATGGAGAATAAAAGCTAGTGAAGAAAACATTTATTTTTAACTCTATCCCCATATTTAGTGAGCATACACCGAATGTCTCACACAGATTATTTCAGTTGCTTCACTAACCTGCATAAAGATCCTTGTACACCTGCTTTTATGCATGTGTTAACATCCCCACTGGGTAGGTTCCTGGAAGTTGGCTCTAGCAATTATTTTTAGGAAACATTTTTTGATAATACATTTGTGGCTTCCAAACTGATTTTGAGTCTTTGGATTTATGCAGGAAAAAAAAGACACCTCTTCTAAGTTCTAGGAAATAAGAGAAGCATCTGGCCCATCTCCAAGGGTTTGGGGGCAGGAGTTGAGCCAAATAAATAAATATTTCAAATGAATTTCAGATATTGTTAGAAAAATATGGGTTTGTTTAAACACTTGATTTAATAGAAGAGAAAACTCAATTGCAAAACCCCTCTTTTGTATTCAGTTTCTCGATTCATCAGATTATTAATTTTCTACTTTCTAGCCTTTGCCTCCCTAAGTTTCTCTCAGGTAACTTATTTTAGTATCCCAAGGTAAAGTAGCTCTCTGTTAAGTATTTCTTTCAAAATAAGTGTGTGCCTAATTAATTTCTAAAAGAGATTTTTCTTTTCAGAAATTAACCTCTTATAAAAATAAGACTAGAAAGAATATCATTTTTCAAATAACTGTATTTCAGGGCAAAAAAACCCACGATAGTCATGTAAGTCCTAACGTTGCATTCAACACATGTAGATGTATCACTTCACAAAAATCCTATGGGCTCCTACAGGATTTCAAAATAATTGCAAGGAATATCTAAGACATCTGTCATGCCCTAAATAGGAAAAGATTCTTATACATATTAATTCAGCTGTATGTCAAGAAACTGAATGTTTGAAGTGCTAGTGTATTTTTATCAAGTGAGTGGGTAGAGTACAGCATTCATGAATCTACACACCAGGTAGGCAGATGAAACCATAAAGGTGGTAGAAAGAAATATATAGGCACGGATTTATAATTCGTCAATATCAATAACACCCTGCACTTGAAAAGTGTTTTGCTCCTCCAAACTATTTGCACATATATTATATCCTTCAATCCTCCTCACATCTCTTTCCTTGGACCATTAGTTTTATAAGAAAATCTTTGTTGGAATAATGTCCTGAGGCTTAGAGAAATACCGTGAGCTTTAATACTGGGTAAATTAACGGCCCAGATAAGGTGACAGTCATGAAATCAGAGTTATTTTTGTTGATTACATTAGATGGAATAAGTCTAATAAAACCTGTTGAAATTTGCTCTCTGGGACAGAAAAGAGGGTGGTTTATGATGATTATTATAAAACAAAAAGCAGGAGAAAACAAGAGTCTCCTAGCCAAAGTTCTTGATCTCAAATTCTCCCGAGTATTGAAATATTATTAATACTGATTTGCTCTTGCTTTTCAGAACCATTTATCTGGGCAGTTCCTCCACCAGTGACTTGCTTTCCTTCCTGCCCTTAAAGGGGCTCTGTGGTCATTTGGCACTTTTCAGCTATTAGTATTAATAGTAATAACAATAGCGGCTTCCAATTATTTATCATGTGCTTATGACGTCGCAGGCACTATCTCATTTGTTCACATGGAAGCCTGTGGGACAGATGCTCTCCCTGCCTCCCTGTGAGGACCAGGACACCTCAAGATTGTCTCAGTGATTTTCCCACAGTCCCAGGGCTGGTAAACGGTGGAGCCAGAACTCAAGCTCAGGTGTTTGTTTAATTGTCATTTTTGTTGATTCTAAAGCTCACCCATGTGCTCTTGCTGGGTTTTGTGCTTCTGCAGCTGGTTTTCTTTGAAGGAACACAGGAAGGTAGAACAACCATAAGCTCCATTTATATAATTCCCTTAGTAATGTTTTCTTTGGAAACATTGTTTTTATGTATGGAGCTGTTATATTTACCTAAAATGCCAGCAAGGCAAAAGAGAAGAAAACGAATGCATGGCTCACTTAGAGCATGGACAGGAGTTTTCTGAGTATATTTGTCATTAAAATAAAATTGAATTACTCCTCTGAGTAATTTTGTCTGACTGGTCCAATTCCATTTCAAGTGAGCATCGTGGTAAAACACAAAGTTCAGACTCAACCTTTATTGATCCTGGAAATTTCTGGTAGAACCCATTCCTTGAATTTGTTGGAATGAGGCTGATCTAGTAAACAATATTGCTGATATACTCACCCCATATTAAATTTTCATCCCAGTTATTTTTCTTTTAAATCTCAACTTCGGTTGAGTTATATTGCCATGAAAATACATTTATATTCCTTTCAAAGAAATGCGAACTGACCACCAAACATTTCTGTTAGAATTTTGAATATCTAAGTGATATGTACTGGAGATGGTTCAAACGTTCCTCGGAGTATCAAGCTATAGGAATGCATGACACAATGAAAGAAATAAAAAATGACTTCATTAATATGCCGGGCTTGGATGCCACCACTAGATTCCATCTCAAAACTGCAGGCGGAATGCCCTGAGACACTTCGCCTTTGACTCACATGAATAAAAATAAACTCCATGAAGAAAGTTGCTCACTATCAAACTGGAAAAATCTCTGAAATTATTTCATAGTCTTTAAACTGTTCTTCAAAGCATTAAGTCGTTTCTGGAAGAATTTTAGTCTCTAATTTAAACAGTAACTTTGCTATTTTTGACAGCAGGAAAAAAATAGGCTTCTGGTTTTGGTCCTTGGAATACAAAGCCCAGAATGGATTACTCTGACTTGTTGAAAGAGGGCAGTGCGAAGAGAAAAGAAATAGAAACAGAAAAAGAGAGCAAAAGAGAGGGAGGGAGGGAGGGAAGGAAGCAAGGAAGAAGGGAGGGAGAGAGGGAGGGAATGATTATTAATAATAACTACGTTTATAGAAGTGAACTCAGGTAGGCTTAATAAGGTCCTTAGTCTAAACCTTGACATACACACAGCTTTATATGCTTCAGAATAAACCAACAGAGGAAAATCACTGAGAAGCTTGGCATCCTCTCTCTCTCTCTCTCTCCTTTTTATTTTTTAAGAGGTCGAACCTCTTTGCAACAGCCTCCCTGACAGCCTGAGGCCTGTCCTCACGAGGCTGAGATCCGATGCTGTGGCATGGCATTCTGATTCCACCGCATTCTCCTCTGAGGACGATCAGAGAAAAGGCAGGGGAAGAAATCAAACCGAAACCTTACACTGGCAGAGTACCAAACAGATGCCAAGTTGAGGCTACTAAAGGGAAGTTAAAAGTCCCTCTCTCTTATGGGGCAGAAAAAGAGAACTTTATTCTTTGGAAGGTGGTGGAAGGGCCGTGCATGACTCCTAACGTCCATTCAGTTTTTGCTGAAAAAGCCATTATTGTTCATTTGGTTTTCACTGCCCTACATTCCCCAAAGGCCAACTAACTTGAGCAGGAAGCCACATTCTAAGGGCTGCTTGGGAATGTGTTTGAGTAGGAAGGGCTCTTAACCATACAGCCTGAATTCTGGAAGCTAAATGAAATCCCCAGGTGTTCACACCTTTGGGTGTGATGGGCAGGCCGACAGAGCTGGTCGTGGGGAGGGGAGCAGTAACCAAGACTGTGAAATGCTTTCTCTAAACCTTCTCAAGCAAGACTGGCCTTTGTATTTATAGAACAATTAACAGAGGAAGGAAAGCCCGCTTTCCGCGTAAAAGGATCTAAACTTTATGCAGAGTACAGCCTGATCTTTCTTTGCCTTTGGGTTGAAAACCTTAGCGAAATCCACAATGATGTCCCTAAGAAAAGTACGTGGAAAAAGTACGTGTCTTTCAGGCACCACTTCTTTTCTTCCTACCCAATCGAGAAGCATGTATCAAGGTTCTGCCCCCTGCCAAGCTCTGTAAATGTTGCTTTGGGGTAAAAAAAGACATAGCAATCCACACACTGTGTTAAGCCACTGGAGGTCCAAGTCAGTCTTCTGAACTGAGAGCAGCACCAAGCAATATCTAAAGATGAGCCCAGTGGGCCCCCTGATGACGGGCATGTCCCACAAACCTCCGTATTTGTGGTTCAGCAGCCTCTATCTTGTGCAGGCTCTTCTCATTTTGCCTAATCTAACATCGAGTAACTTCATGGTGAGTGTTCAGTAAACATTTGCAGGTTGAGTGGTACCTCCCGCCTTCTAGGGGTGCATGGGGGTGGTTTAGAGGATGGAAAAGGAGTCACTGCCTGCCGTCAAGTCCTGGCCCTCAGACCTGCTAGTTTCCTGACACATGCTGGTGTCTCTGAGCTTCTGTTTTCTTAACTGTGAAATAAAGAAAATAATTATTCCTCTATCGTGAGGTTCTGATGTAATGAATAAACGAAATAACACAAGTTGTTATCTCATTTAGCACAATGCCTGGCATTTTGTAAGCACCCCCCTAAAAGTTAGCCTTCATAAACAATCATTTTTATTACCCCTACTACTATGAGCACCGTATCTCAGATAACAAACACACATGACATCTGTCAGTCAGAAAGTATTTGAGCGCCTTCAGCGTTTTTGCTCTTTTTAGTCCATGTGTTCTGGATTCTTGCTGTCTGCTAAGGGGAGAGCCAAGTTGATAACAGTGGACTCCGGAGTATTCCTCTTTGATGCACGTTGCTTAGCCCCCACTGCCCACCCTCCAGTGGGGTGTAGTTGGAAAGAGGAGACAGTACGCAATAACCAAAATGCAGGGATTAGACCCGAGTCAGTACTGAGGCTGAGAACTGAGCAATTCATCACCAGATTTCATAGGTATTTTATCAAGCGTAGGGCAATACTAAATGCACAGTTAAAAACACAGACCCCAGATTGGTCTGAACGAGTCTAGGGCTGGTTAGCTCAGAGCAATGATGCTCAAACTTGCCCCAGAGCCACCTGGAGGGTTTGTTAAAGCAGGTTGGTGAGCCTCGGCCCCCTCCCCAAAGCTTTTGATTCAGTACATCTGAAGCGGGCCTCCAGGATTTGCATTTCTAACAGGTTCCCAGTGGATGTTGAAGCTGCTCGTCCTGGGATCGTACTCCTAGAAACATTAGCTCAGAGCATGGGGGGGCGTACAGAGGCAAAGACAACCCCGCCCAGCCCCGTCGCTGATGCTGCTGGCTATAGGGGGATGGGAACTAGGGTGCTCACCTCTGCTGGAGAATCCACATCTCTACTGGGGACATACAGCAAAACCCACACCAGCCACCTGAATGTTACCAGTGGAGGCTACTGATGGGTCAGTTGTTCGTTCAGTTACGTGTTCGTTTAGTATGTTCAACCACCTCCTGGTTCCAGTGTTAGTATTTTCATTATCATGTATTTACCCCAGAATGACATAATCCCAGGGTTTTAGAACTTTTCTTGTTGTTATTTGGGGAGTGCAACACTTGAACGTAATCCAGCTCTGGTTAAAAATCGCACCCATACCTCTCATGAGCAATATGTTTTTAGCTGGTCTGCCCTTTGTCTTGCTCCTCGTGTTTGCCCTGTCTGTGCGCTTGTGGTCGCTGAAAGGCCGTTGTCTGTTTGTTATTTTAGTCAGTGAAAGGGGATGGAGGGATCACCCACTCAGAAGAAATAAATGGGAAAGACTCCAGCTACCAAGTAAGTGACCTTGAACTCAATGTGGTGGTGGTATTCTTTCTTCTTTCCAGCCTTGTTTTCTATGCCATTCTCAGCCACAGCCGACTCATTTAACATCTCTAAATTAAGCACCTACTGTATACCAAGCACCATGTTGGGCCCTGCAGACACGAGCACAAACAAGCTAGACTTCCTCAGCTGTTAATACTTCCTATAAAAGGTTTTCACATACGCTCTTTCCTCTTTTCCACGTGGAAAATTCCTTCTCCCCTGCACTTCTTGGCATAAATGTCACCTCCTCAAAAAGACCATCTTGTTTTATTTCATGGCGCTTGTTGCAAATTGTAATAATTCATTTGTCTCCCCTACACCTTGCCACCTCTGCCTGGAACATCTGTGTAGCAAAGAGTCTTTGCTATTTTTACATCACATTGCATGGTGCCTGGCATGTAGTGGGAGCTGTTTCTTGAATAGATTAGTTAAAAACATGGGGTCACATAGTTCACTTACATTATTCTCTCTCTTCTAAAGAAACATGGCTATGACATGTTTATAACGATATGGGTTATTTTTAAAAAATGGAATTATACGCAACACCCTGTTTTCTAACCTATACTTTTTAAATTTTTTTAATATATATTACATATTTTTCTTTTTGAATTTTTGTAATTTTTAATACTTTTTTCTTTCTCATGCTACTGCGCTACTAGAGGCCTGTACAGTAATTTAAATTTATTTTTATTTTTAAAATTTTTTTCATTTTTAAAATTTTTATATTTTATTTTATTTTAGAGACAGAGTCTTGCTATGTTGCCCAGGCTGGACTTAAACTCCTGGGCTCAAGCAATTCTCCTACCTCAGCTTCCCAAGTAGCTGGGACTACGGGCACACACCACCATGCCCAGCTTACACTCATTTTTTTAACCTTAAAAATATACCTCCACAAAAATGACATTAAATGTTCTTCTCCTAGTTTTGTAAATAGAGAGAAGTGGCTAAGAACAAAAGTTGTAGGCCGGGCGCGGTGGCTCACGCCTGTAATCCTAGCACTCTGGGAGGCCGAGGCGGGTGGATTGCTTGAGGTCAGGAGTTCGAAACCACCCTGAGCAAGAGGGAGACCCCGTCTCTACTATAAAATAGAAAGAAATTAATTGGCCAAATAATATATATAGAAAAAATTAGCCGGGCATGGTGGCACATGCCTGTAGTCCCAGCTACTCAGGAGGCTGAGGCAGAAGGATCGCTTGAGCCCAGGAGTTTGAGGTTGCTGTGAGCTAGGCTGACGCCACGGCACTCACTCTAGCCTGGGCAACAAAGCGAGACTGTGTCTCAAAAAAAAAAAAAAAGTTGTAGACTCAAACTGTCTGGGTTCAAATCCTGGCTCAGCCAATGTTTAGCTGTGTGACTGAGGGAAATTACCAGTGTCTCAGTGCCTCAGCTTCCTCACCTATAGAATGGAGAAAGAAAAGTACTGCCTTAAAGGGTTGTCAGATGAATTCATACATGTTAAACACGTAGGACATTTCTGTAGTGTGGGCTGGTAAACGTTAGCTGGTGTATTAGTCAGCCGAAACAAAATGCTGCAGACAGTGGCTTAAGCAACAGAAATTTGTGTTCTCACAGTTCTGGCGGCTGGAAAAGACAATTCAAGGTGCCAGCAGGGTTTAGTTCTTGAGGAGGGCTCTCCTCCTGGCTTTTAGACAGCCACCACCCTGCTGAGTGTCCTCACCTGCAGAGAGAGAGTCACTTCTTATAAGGACACTAATCCTATTGGATCAGGGCCTCACCCTTATGCCTTCACTTAACCTTAATCACTTTCTACTGCAAATATAATCACATTGTGGGTTAGAGCTTCAACACACGAATTTGGGGTTGGGGGACACAGTTCAGTCCACAGCAGTTTCTATTCATTACTGTTACTCTTAGGCTGCTCACAGGGAATTATCCTGCAATGTTGCTCACACCACACTCACCCAAATGGACTGCAATGACTGCCATGGCGTATATTAATAGTATTTATATTTCCATAATGATCGGTTTATCCTACATCTTTAAACAGGCTTTTTACCACATTCAATTTCTTTTTCTTTTTTTACTTGTTACTATGCCTGGCCCCCAAACTCATTCTCTAGACCACTTTGGAACTCAAATTTCCCAAAGGTTATTACCTTGGGAACACCATAGTCACACTACTGAAAAGGAAAAACTTACATATGATTGTACATTTTGTCTGGAACGTCACAGCGAAACAGTTATGCCAACATTTTTGGTGGTTCTAAAATTGGAATAACATCCGTGAAAATTTGAATGAGCTGGAAACCTTGTTCTGTTTATACTCAGCACGGAGTGCTTTGAGACTCCTGTTGTCCGGGGCCGGGGATCCAGACTCGAGAGCACTGGCGTGTCCTCACTGGGCGACAGCAAATGCTTAGTCTGATTTGGGAGCTGATTTGGGGGTGGGGACAGACTGAGACTTGCTGGACAAGCAGCAGCAGTCGTACGAAGCCCTGGTGGTGCAGCAGTGGGGCGGCAGCAGGGTGAAGTCCTGCTTCGAGAATAAGCTTCTTCAAGGAACGAAAGGAGGCGTGTGGCTGGAGCAGAATGAGATAGAGGGGAGAGGGACAGGAGGCAGGGCTGGAGAGGCACAAGGGGACCCTACATGTCACATTCAGCATTATTTCCTAGGTGCAGCTGCTGGGCCAGACCCACACAGTTGGCCTTAAAAAGAATAAGGACAGTGGCAGTGTTAGGCCAGGGTGACCGACACATCCCAGTCTGCCTGGAACTTTCCTGGTTTGAAAACTGTGAAGTTCCATGGTCCTGGAAGCCCCCCGCTTGCAGGCAAACCAGGAAGACCGGTCCCTCTACAGCTAGCTTTCACACGGGCCAGGCGCTGCGCCCAGGCAGCTCTCCACTCTTAGCTAATCAGATCCTCACACCACCACGAGACGCCGCCGGTTCTTTTGTGACTTCCCATACAGACGAGGAAACCGAGAGGTCAGTGTATTTCAGGCCACACAGCAAGGGCGTGAGGGAGGTAGAGTCCAACCAGGTCCCTCTGACTCCAGACACTGAGCTCTTAGCCACTTACCGTATTTTAAAATCCGCAGGGCAAAAACAACGAACAGCAGTTCCAACCAGGGTCTCGGGTTCTGGGCTTTCTGCAGAGCACTGTGGTGCGAGTTTCTGTCTCAGTGTAAGGGGCACCTGCTCTGGGCCGCCCGCTGCACCTGGACACCTGCAGCCCAGCATCTGCGGCAGCCGTGGCAGCTGGGCTGGGACAGGGGTGTCCAGGACGTGCGGTGGCACAACTGCTTCTCGGGCGGGGCACACCGGGTGTCGGATGCCTTTTTCTCCAGGGGCTTCTGCCCTCTGGACAGCACCTGGCGAGCCTTCGGGGCTGGGGAGTCTCACCTGCTTGTTCCTGCACTTGTTTCTAAGGGGTGTGCTTAACTCACTGGCGAGAAATGGCATTTCTCCTTTGATTGCATGAACCCTCTCATAGAACCTTCTATCTGAGGACAGTACAGAACTTTACGAATCAGGCTTCTCAACACCTATCCGGTGGGTCACACGTGGCCCGCAGGGAGACTTGTGGTCCGGTTGTTTGCCACGATCACTGGTTTAAAATTTTTGAAGTCGGTATTTACTAGTTGACATATTTTGCATTTAGAACATTCAGTTCCAAGGTTCTTTTGATAAAAACAGACGATCTGACTGCACTGGGGCTGCCAGCTGTCTCCCAGCTGGGTCCGAGCAGCTGTGCCCCCTTCACTCGAGGCATTGATAGTCAACTCGCCACAAGCCTCACTGCTCCAAATTGTCCCCCCAACACCAGAGCCTGCATTGCTTGAACTGGTGCTATTGTTACACTGGAGAAATATTTCTTTGGACCCATGTTGCTTTTACAGCAGGGGAAATAAGATCTCCCTGGGATTTTATTCTTTCCCCTAGCTTCTTTTTTATTTTTACATGAGCTGTCTGGACCCCATAGACATTTCAGGTCAAGTCAATGATGAGAAAAGGGTTTCTGCTTCATAATGGATTTTTTGTTGTTGTTGTTATCTGTAATTTACCCAGAATTTTCTAGAATTTCAGATTTTACAGCTTCATTCTTCCAGATTGTAGAAACCATGCAGGATTGTATAATATCTTTCATTTTGGCATAGAAAGATGTACATTCAAAACTATCATCTTCTCTTACCACCATTTCATGAAGCAAAAGGACAGTTTCACACCAAAAATTAAGGTGGACATAATCATGAGGGAAAGAATGCGTATCCCCAAGAAAAAAGTCACATGTGGTTGCACGTGGGAGTGATGCTCTTAAAGCTGGCTTACACATAAAAGAGCTTCAGGAACGGCTAGATCCAGGAGCACATGCAATATGATCTGTGCCTGGTCTTTCTTTTTTTCTCTCTCTCTCACCTCATCTCTCAGCTCTGCTCTTCTCTTTGTTGGCTTCCTTTTCAGGCAGATTCTCCCCAGAAATAGTGGCAGCTCTGGAAGCTCCAATCTTACCTCTTCTCGGCTTCAAATCCAATAGAAAGGGGGCAGGCCTCTCGTGATTATTTTAGCAAAGCTCTGCAATTAGTTCGGGCTTTATCCATGTTTGCCCATGCTGACCCATCACAGCAGCCCAATCACACGCAATGCTCTGATCGGCCAGGCCCGAGTCACGTGCCGTGTCCGGGGTAGAGTTAGTTTGCCTAGACCAGTGGGGGAAAAGGGGAGAAAGGTGGTTCCCCAAGGAAAATCCAAGTTCTGGGACCAGAAGAAGGGGGAACAAAATGCTTGCTGGAAAAGCATAAAATTAATTAGTAGATTATTAGATAAATAAATAAATGTCTCCTACCATGACCTCGTACCATGATAAGTGTTTGCACTTTTTCTATTTTTCATTTCACCAGGGATTCATGAAAATGTAGATACCACCCAACATTAGAACATCTCTATTTTGCAGTAACATATTTATTCCCCTGCTACTGAGACCTGTCTTGCAGCCACTAAAAATGCGCTTTGTCTGCGATGTTTGTAGACGGCGGACTCTGCAGAGAAGGCTACCACGCCGCCGGAGCCAGAGCCCGCAGGAGCGGCCCAGAAGGGCAAAGAGGGCTCCTCCAAGGACAAGAAGCCGGCAGCCGAGGGAAGCAAGCACAAGAGCAGCAAGCAGGAAGCCAAAGACCCAGCGCCGTGCCCGGGGCAGGCCACGGGGGATGCCAACTCACTGCAGAATGGCGACAAGTCCCAGAAGAGACCCGAGAAGCGGCAGCAGTCCCTCGGGGGCTTTTTTAAGGGCCTGGTAGGTAGATTTTTTTTTTTTTGGCTCTTCCTTCTGGGCTCTCCGGTAAGAGGTGTGGTTCCCACCTCCAAAGGGGACAGATTGGACAGGGGCTGGCTGAACATTCAGCAGACAGATATTTATTGAAGCCCTGCTGTGTGCCAGGCACTACACTGGGCACAAAGAGGAGCAAGGTGGACATCCCTGGCCACTCTGTGGCCCACGGCTGTGGCTGAGTGTGGGGCGAGTCGGGAGGGGAGGAGAAGGCACACAGAGGGAGGCTGAAGGTGAGGACCTGGCCTGGCTTTGGGTTTGAGGGGAGAGTGTCAGGGAGGGCTTCTCGGAGGCGATCACATCCAAGGTGGCACCTCGACGTAGCCTGCAGGGAAGCAAGGGGAGGGCTGGAGGCAGAGTTTTTTTCCTTCCCTAGACTGCTAGCTTTGGGAGAACAGTGACCTTGTCCGTGCATGGACTGACAATGCTGCCCTCCCCAGGATAGTGAGTGGAATGTAGTAGGTGCTCAATTAAGTATTTGTTGGATGGACGATTCGATGGATGGATGGGTAGGTAGACGGAGTGAAATATAACACTAGTAAATGTTAAATATATTTAGGATAATTTAAATCCTGGAAAACACAGAGGGTCTGAAGGTCATTACTCAAATTATAAGCAAGGTGGTCAAGCATAAACTCAGAAGAGAAATAAGCAAAGTCATACCCAGGACCCAAGGGAATATGGGTTGAGCCAGGGATCAAGACAAGGAGTAACACTGACACCAGCAGTGGGCCAGTGACTTGGGCTTAGCCTTCGTGCTGCAGTGGGGGGGAGGGGTAGTTAAGAGGAGCAAGCTGGCCTAAACCCTTTGATCACTCATGACTGTTCCATTCCGTAGATACCTGCAGCTATTGGTGACCTCTGCCACTAAAAATAGCAACTGTAACTCTTTTATAGCACTTACTATGTGACAAATACTATTCAAAGCACTTTATACATATTAACATTTCATCTTCACAACTGCCCTGTGAACTCCCGTTTTACCCATGGTAACATTAAGGCGCAGAGGGCTAAGCAACTTGACCGAAGGGGTAGATCTGGGGTGCAAAGCCCAGCGATCTGATTCCATGGTAAATTACACCCTATTACATGACACTCTATAATATATGCTATGTGCCATGCTACCCTACATTGTGCTAGTCTGTGTATACCATAGGGCACTACACTACATATGTACCATATACGTACACTACATATACACCCTGTATACATTATTTATACTATGCTACACTATACTATATTTATTAGACTATAATACACTATAAATATTGTATTATATATTATAATGTATACTGTAGCACATTATACTACACAACTCTATGTACATACACTATACTATATATACTTTTCAATAGTATATTGTAGTATCCTACCCTGTACTATACTATATATACCACACTATACTATAGTACATATTGTGCTATACTATATGATAATATATTTAAGATACTATGTTCTGTGCTGTACTAAACTATACTATGACATATTTACTATACTTGACTATATTATATATATACCATGTATACTATAAAATATGTATAATCATATACTGTCATATACTATACTATATACACTCTGTTATACTACTCTATACTATCTATATGTATATACTTTAGTGCACTAGATGCAATCTTATATTACTACCTTCTACTGTAAAAAGGACCCAAACTAATAGGACCTCTGACCCACACAGCAACGTGGACGAATCTCCACCCGACTCTGCCACGTGAAAGAAGCTAGGCTGAAAGGCTACGTGCTCTATGATTCCACATGACACTGATAGGACATCCTGGAAAAGGCAACACTCTAGGGATGGAGGCCAGATCAGCAGTTGCCAGGGTCCCGGGTGGGGAGGGTTTGACGACAGAGGGGCACGAGGAGGGGTTGGGAGGTGATAGAAGCATTTGATATATCGGTTTTGGTGGTGGTTACATGTGTCGGTTTAACCTCATAGAACTATATGCAGATAGGGTTAATTTTACTTTATAAGTATCATTTGGGAGAAAAAGTGGAACAATAATCATAACACCTATGTCACCGCATTCCTTCCCCGCATTCAGCCAATATGAAGGGGTGCCCGCTATACGCCAGGCACCGGGACAGGACTCACGGGGCTCACGTTCTGGCGGAGGAGACAGATGCTAGACAAGTAAAACAGGTGCCACAGTCCTTCCAGAGAGAGATATGTTTTGTGAGACTATGAAGCAGGGTGACGTAGCTAGAGGGTGGCTGCGGAGGGGAGCTAAAGGGAGGTAGAATGGTGGGGGGCTTCTACCCCCCAGGTTCTGCTGCACCCCAAGTGCACGACAAGTATGAACTCACTTCATCTCGGGAGCAACCCTCTGAGATAGGTCTTATCATTCCCATTTTAAAGATGAAGAAATCAAAACACAGAGCGTTAGCCGGGCATGGTGGCACATGCCTGTAGTCCCAGCTACTCGGGAGGCTGAGGCAGGAGGATTGCTTGAGCCCAGGAGTTTGAGGTTGCTGTGAGCTAGGCTGACGCCACGGCACTCACTCTAGCCTGGGCAACAAAGCGAGACTCTGTCTCAAAAAAAAAAAAAAAAAAAGGCAATAGTGGGCAACCAATCATTTTAAAGGTCAACGCATGATCCATGCGTAGTCAGCTTGTGCGCAGCTTGTGCACCGTGGGGATAAAAGGCATGCCGTTGTTCCGGTCGGGGTCCTTGCCTGCGAGAGTGGCCACTGCATTGATGCTCTGGGGATTGGACCCTGGCTAGCCAGAAAATAAACCTCCTCTTGTGTGATTGCAAAAAAAAACAAAAAAAACCACAGAGCATTAACTGATTTATCCAAGATTTCACAAGGCTAGAAAGTAATATAACTGGGCGTCCGATTGGAGACCATCCTCTTATCCACCACTCATAGCTAAGACATCTGTATGCATATTTACTGCAACACCTAGCACAGAGTAAATGCCACGTATTCGGCCACTGCTGCTGTTGATACTGCAGACCTTCAACGGGCTACGACTTCTCTCTGTTTTTCTCCAGGGACCAAAGCGGATGTTGGACGCTCAAGTGCAAACAGACCCAGTGGCCATCGGACCAGTGGGCAAATCCAAGTAAACAATCACCACAGTTCCCACCCAGGTTCTCCTGCCACCAGGATGCTTTCTCCTTACCCCAGCTTGTCCCCCAAACACACTCCATGTATATACCCTTCCATAGCCATGACGTGAGATTCTGCGTGCAAATTAAGCCCGAGCTGTTATATACTGAGGTGTATTATTTATGTCTCTGGTCCAGTCTTTTTGGGGTAACTAATTGTAAAGGCGGTTAAGCAGGTTAACTAGTTAGGTCAGAAGAGTGGACGACTGCCAAGCAGGGAGGGGAAAGTGTGGAGGGTTGCGTTCGGGTCACGTTAGGAGAAATGTCAGTGACAGGTCAGTTGCCGAAGGAAAATGCCTGCTAGAAGGAATTAAGCTTTGCAGTAAGTTAAGTGCTCATCCTGTAAGCTTGGAAGAGGGAGAGGGAAATCTGTTTGTTTAAGTTCTCATTTCAAGTAGGGAGAACCCGGGCGGCTGCGTTGGGTGGTTGCCAATTTCCTGGAATGGAATGTGTGGGGTATGAAAAAAGGAATGAATAGGAGTTGTTTTTCAAATAAAGTCCTTGAAATGTATTAATGAGAGGGAAAAGATTGACTGAAGAGGGCTTAAAATGATTTGGAAAAACAATGGCTTTTGAGGCTCAGTGACAAGTGCAACTCCAAAAAATAATAATAATAATAATGCAAATAAATGAAGTTGCAAGTTTATTTTACAACACAAGGGGGCGCTATGGCCCCCATTTTTATCCCACATCCTGTATCCCTAACAAAGATTTGGTCTCTGCAATCTTACATTATTAATGTTTCTCAGATGGCTGAGGGGCTTGCTTCATCTGTTCCGTCTGACACTTGCTTCAAATGTGTCTGTAATTTCCTAATGTTCTCAGGATGTGCTCTGATAAAACCCTCCCCATAACCTCAGTTAATAAAAATTTACAGAAGATTATGCAAATACCTGAGTTTTTTTTAATACTTGTACAGAGGAATACATAGGACCCTGAGTCTATTAAAATGTAATTCAAAGTAGCATATGATTGGCTGATAGTCATGTATACTGTATCTTTCTTTTTTCTGATTCAATAAAAAAAAATACATTTACATCTAAAGTATCTTTTAATTTTCAATTTTTAAAGCAGCTCTCTCCTACTGTATGTCTAGACAAGTTTATGTTTCAGAATATAAAATCCATACTCTTCTCCTGTTTCCTTCTTTGAAGGATAATTTTCTCCCAAATCCTCCTTGATATCCTTGTATGTGGGCACACGCACACACACAAATGTGTGACATGTATATCTGCATACACACGCATGCAAATATATAAAAATGCTGTCTTAGGCCAGGTTGCCTGGAGCAGAGCCCGGGGCAGGGACTCAGATGCACAGGCTGTACTGAGAGTGGGCTCCCGGGGAGAGGCAGTAAGAGAAAAGAAGAGGGAAAGGAAGGAGTTGGGCAAGGATTGGTCTCAGCTGGAGCAGGAATTGCACCACTCAATTGGTCATTCTTGAGGCAAGGGGGCCGGCCTTTGAACCCCTCTAGGTGAGTCATGGGAGCTGGTGGGATGGGCAAACTGCTTCCATTGAGCTGAGAAGCCGAGATCCCTAAGCAGCTGGGGGGTGTGTGCATTGGCAGTATCCACTACAGAGAAACACATATGTGTTCAGACACGTACTGATACCCACATTCACATACACATGCACACATGCATACTATACGTCACATACAGGAATAGATAAAAGCATGCACACACTCATATTCACGCCCATACAAATAAACACATACATATAACTACTGCAGATCCACGTATAGGCTCACACAGATCTATCACATGCGCAATCCATCACACATTGATTGAAAATAAACTCTAGGTCCTGACATGGACCTAGAGTATAGGGACAAGTTTGCCTCTTATGCAAATTACACCATGGGCTTTGGCAAATAGGCATTGGAAAGTGTGTTCAGAAACAAGTGGTGTCTCTAAAAATCCAGACTGAAGTGGAGAGAGGGTCCTTTGGTGCTGGGGCCTGCTGGCTCCCTGCTTGGACTGGCTGAATTCCACGTTTTCACATAAAAAGACCAAAGGTCTTTTCCTCACAGCAGTGGGTTACCTCCTTCAGACCTCCTGACCACGCCTGGAGATGCCTAGAGTCTGTGCCTCACCAGTTGGGAACTATCTCCTGCCCTTTCCGCATCAGAATGTCTAACCTGGAACATTCTGCAGGAAAAATCCCTTTGGGGAAGGCCTTCCTGGCGGGTGACTTTGCCTCCACTGGGAGGATTCCAAGAAACCAGGCAGCTCCTACTTCTTTGTCCCCAACACCATGGGGGGTTGCCTGCTGCGACCTTTGGTGAACTCCAGGGCTGCAGTCCATTGAGGAAGGTGACAGTATCATTTGCAAGTTTCACCTCACTGGGCACAGGGCTTTTTGCCCAGAAGAGAAGTGGCCCCAGGCAGGAGGGGGAGAAACAGGCCAAGGGACCGAGCAGCTCGGGCCAAAGTCACTGCTGCAGATGCAGCCTCCCGAAGCCCCCACCCCCAACAAAACAAAAAGGTTCTTTGCGGAGAATCTCTTTGCAAAGCATGCCAACAGTTTTCACAACTGATTTCCTATGCCCCTGGGCCAAAGAAAGAGAACAATCTTTTAATGAAATTGCTTAGTTTTTTTTTTTTTTTAAGGCAAGAAAAGCCAGAGCAAACTAAAAAATTGACTTATTAGGGGAACTCTAAATCCATTTGGTAGCTTAAGAAAAGTAGGTTAAAACCCCACTTTTGTGTTTTGTGTGTGTCTGTTGTTGTTTTGAGATCCCATTCCTGATGCATTTAACAGTAAATAACTAATTTCCATGCCTGATGCTGAACTAGTGAGGAAAAGAGCAGAAACTCAGGGAGAGAGCCCACGAAAACCCTAAGGACATGGATTCCCAGAAATGCCACTCAGACAGAGCAGCAAACAATGGGGGAAAAGGCAAAGCAAAACTTGCACACAGAGAAACATTACAAAATGCCCCCACAGAGAAATTAAGACCTGGGGGGAAGAGGCAAGGTGCCTTTTTATTGTTATTATTAATTTATTTACTTACTCATTTACTTATTTATTTTTAGGTGCCCAGGGAAGTGTGTCTTCTCCCATGTCAAGAAGAAGTGGCCTTTCCAAGAATGGAGGTTTTGAGCTGAAATGGCCGCCACCGTGCACAGACACACACGCACACATGCACACACGCACACACACACGCACACACACAACACTGCTTTCCAGTCCAGCTGACGGTGACTTTTTGACTGAGATCCATAAATGAATCCATTCAAAATAGCAGTTGTTCCCAGCAGCCGGAGGGAGGCACGTACCAAAACAGATGCCAGAAAGGAAAGGGAAAAGGAAAGAAAGTAAAATTCTTGTGTTTTCGTTATACCTCCTTGCCACTTGCTCTTTGAACAAATTATTGGGGATTTAAACACATTCTCTCTCCTCTCTCTCTCTCTCTCTCTCTCCTCTCTCTCTCTCTCTCTCTCTCTCTCTCACACACACACACACACACGTACATACATACATACTGGCTGGATTGCCCTGTGTGTTTGCAAACAGCCCAGAAGCCCTGGAGTCCCATTACATTAGGCTCCAAGACATGAGGATGTGTGTCCCGCTGGCTCCTTCTCAAAGTGCCTAGAAGGGAGCAGATTTCTACCACCTGGATCTGACAATGTCATTTCTTATGTCCAATAGTCCCAAGCAGATCTTATGCCTTCAAAAAATAAAATCAGCTACACTACCTACCTTAAAAGGAAGGAAAGGGAAATGATTCCAATTATTCACTTACCCAAGGTGCAAACAGAGGGAAAGTAGGCAATGAGCTTTGCAACAGGGATTGGTTTTAACCATCCCCTGAATGCCCCTCTTTAAGCCTTTCAAAAAGGCGATTTTGCACGGTGAGTAGAATGAGTCTTCTCCGTGGTCAAGATTTTGTTCACTCTATCGGTGAAAATAAAGTGGCACTGCCCCACTGGAAATTACAGGCTCCATTAGGAAGAAAAGAAATTACTTACTGAGCAGCAAATTCTGTAAATTTGTAATTCAGATCTTTAGCGCAGGCCTGAGTGCTGGTCAGGATCCAGCCCTTTGCATAAATTGGTTTTCTGGGAGTTTAACTCTTTAGGCTCTGTTGCCCTTTTCTGGAAAACCACTTGTGCCACCTCTCCCCTGCTGGCCCTTTAACTTGCCAGGGCAGAAGTGGCCATCCCTAATTTCACAGAAGTAAGAAAAACAATAATAACGCCTAAGGTTAAGCGTACGTTTCAGTTTATAAAATGCTTTCTGCACACAGTGTGTAAATTTAAAGCTGTATGTCCCTAACTGAATGTCATTGCTTCCTTTGTTACATTCCATCGGGGGTGTGGGCAGGTGGCAGAGAGGAACGGGTATGTACCTGTATGGATTTTTTGTTGTCATTTTCTATTTCTTTCAAATGTGCACTTCTTGGTAAAATAGCCCCCACCTGCATTTCTGGAAAGGATTGCTCTGGAAGGGGCTCCTCTGTGTGTGATTTACAATCAAGGATGCACGTTTCCGGCTAAATGCAGCCACACGGGGGTGCTCCAGGACCTGGGGTTCTACACGCTGCAGTCAGGCCTTTTTCCCTGACTGCATGGGGGTGGGGGGAGGGGAATGGGCCAAAGCGGCGGAACAGTGTTTGTGGATTACCTTCTAGAAAGCAATCAGGTTTAATGAGGAGAGGTAGAACAAGGCCAACCTGTGCGGGTCAATTGCCTTCGATGATTCCCTGCATGCCAAACAAGCATGAGGTTGGCTGGTTGGGTTTTTTTTTTCCATTCTTAAGTGCTCCATCTTGGAAGAAGCTCGAGGGAGACTATGTGATTGCAAAATACTGAGTTGGTGTCATTGCAAAGCATTTAAACGTTTCTTACTGGCCCCTGTGCTCCACTCCGGACTGGAGAGCAGGTGACTTAGCCTCGGTGTTCCCCCTCAACAATGGGATTAATGACAGCCACCCGGGGAGGTGCTGGGAGCCTGCAGTGAAGTGGCTCCTACCAACCACTTATTGCAGTGGCAGCTGGCACTTAGGAGGCGAGAGCTGTTCTGCCACAGGGAACTTTTAGTACCAAGTAACAGAAAACCCCTGCTCTGCTTGGCTGGTAATAGTAACAATAAGGATATTTATCATTTTGTGGAATAGGTGTTAGGTAACCGCTTTGGCTTTCGTTCTCTGAAACTCTGTTCTGGCTGACAGTAACTATAAGGAAATGTATCGCTTCCTAGGACAGGTGTTAAGTCACAACCTGACTGTGATTCTCCGACACTCTGTTCTGCCGTGTTCCGTGTTGCGTGGGTTGACTTCAGCCCCCAACCTGGAGCTAAGTGATGGGTGCAGTTCCAGGCAGGGGGATTATGGGATTATTGTCATCAGTTTGGATGGATCATTCTGGTGAAATCGGTAGTGAGAAGGCAATACAAGGATGCGAAGAACACTAAAGCAATTGTTAATATCAGTGTCTTTAAGGTTAGCCATTCCCCAAATCAAACGCGTCCCTTCAGTTCAGAGTGATGGGACTTGAGCAGTGATGGCAGCTGCCTTCCACAGCAGGCGCTAGACTGGGCTTATCAAGATCTGGGGCCTTCCCGTCTGTCTCCCGCGTTGTTCCATCGTCCGTGTCTAGCAGAGTGCCTGGACAAAGCAGAAATCAGTGCATGGTGGTTGCGCAGATAAATTGATGGAGAGATATTCTGTGGCCACATCCACTGGAAGTGGGTCACCTTATCCCCTAGCGTGAGCTTAGTTTAGCACCAAGGGTTTGATCACCCTAATCAGACATCCACCCTCCCCAGGTGACCAGCCCGGTGGTTGTCAAAGTGTGTTCCCAGCACCAGCGGCAGCAGCATCACCTGAGAATGTTTTGGGAGTGCAAGTTCCCAAGCCCCACTGAAGACCCTCGGGATCCAAACTCTTGGGGTGGAACCCAGTAATCTGTGTTCTAAGATGCCCCCCAGTGCTCCTGATCCAGGAGAAAGCTTGAAAACCACTGATCTAGGCAGAGCTCCCCCAATCCCGACTAAACACCGACTAAGTTTTTGGTCCAGAGACTGGCCCTGAAGAT